GAGGCCACTCATTGCTGTCGCCTCCACCATATCATCTACGTCGTGTGGGTCACTTCACAGGCCCCTTCGTTCAGGTCTTCTGTCCTTGGTCCCCTACCCCCAATCAACTCTCCCTAAGCAGCCAAGGTTGATATTTCTCTCTTCTCTTCCAAAGGAAACTCTGGCTGTCCTGGAACTCATTCTGCATACCAGGCTGTCCTTGAACTCACAGAGATCTGCTTGCCTCTGCCTCCTGAGTGTTGAGACTAGAAAGTGAGTGCCACCATACCTGGCTGACTTATTTTTAGATTTTATTTACAGTTGCCTGTGCATGGGGGGGGGGGGCTCAGGCTGCAGTAGCTCCTGGTAGTCAGAGGACAACTGTTTCACTGTTATGATGGATCAAACTCCTGCTGTCTTGCTGGGAAGCACCTTTCACTGCCGAGCCATCTCCCCAGCCCCTTGCTTCACTTCCCAACACACCCAGGATGAACTTACACTTATTCGGTGGATCTGGAAAGAAGGCTCATCGGGTAAGGGCACTTGTTGCTCTTGCAGAGGACCTGTGTCTGATTCCCTGCACCCGCATAACGACTCACATCCATCCATAACTCCAGTTCCAGGGGACCTGAAGTACTCTTCTGACTTCTGGGGGGCAACAGATACGGCCACATAACCCTTGCTGGCCTGGAACTGGATAATCACAGTGTAGACCTTGAACTTGCAGTGATGTGGCTTCTGAGTGGTAGATATGGGAGCCCCCTCACCCATGCCCTCCCTCACTTTCTAGACTGGGTCTTGCTACACTAGCCAGTTGGCCTCACCCTCCAGACTGCTGGAATTACAGAGAGGGTTAGGCTCTCATACTACTGGTGGCCATGGAATGTGACACAGCTGTATACCACCGCCTGCAGCCTAAGCTCTTTCTAGAGACTTCCTGACAGATAAATCCAGGACGGACTATTTTTCCCTTTTGCTTCAGAGACAGGGTCTCACACAGCCCAGGCTGGCTGGAGACAAGGTCTCACATAGCCCAGACTGGCCACCAGTTCACTAAACACTAAACTTGGATCACTAAACTTTGATCCTCTGACCCTTCTGCCTCAGTCTCCCCGGGGCTAGGGCTTGAACCCAGGGCTTCACACACTTAGGCAAGTGTTCTAGCAACTGAACTACATACTCAGTCCCAAGATTCAAAAGAAAAGCAAAGCGCATTTACTCACGTGGGGGAGGTGTACTGGCACACACAGGTTAAAGAACAAAGGTTTGGGGGTTTCTTTGGTTTTTTGTTTTTTGTTTTCCTTCTATCATGTGGTCCCAGGGATGAGATTTAGGTCCTCAGGCTTGGCAGCAGGTGTGTTTTTACCCACTGAGTCATCCCGCCAGCCTTGCCCCAGGATTTATGAGTCAGCCACAGAAAGAATTTCAAGATGAGTTTGATGAGGGTTTTATTTTATTTTTTATTCCTAGGTGTGCACTCTCCCATGTTTAGGTCAGAGGTCAACTTTTAGGAGTCAGTTCTTTTCTAAAGGACTTGGCATCAAACAGGTTTTTATCTGCTGAGCCATTTCACTGGCCCCTTAGAGATTACACACACACACACACACACACACACACACACACAGAGAGAGAGAGAGAGAGAGAGAGAGAGAGAGAGAGATTTAAGACTATGGTGGCAAACACGGGGGAGGCAGAGACAGGCAGATCTCTGAGATAGTGGCCAGCCAGGTCTACAGAATGAATTCCAGGACAGCCAGGGCTACACAGAGAAACCCTGTCTTGAAAAATCAAAGCCAACCAACCAACCAGACAAACAAACAAAAAAGAAAGGGTAAGGCCGACCTAAAAGTGTGGGTGTGGGCTTGGGCTTCTCCAGAGAGCTAGTTGTCTGAAGTCAGGGCTCACAGGGCGGTTAAGGAGCTTCTTGGGAAGGGAGGGGGGGGCATCAAAGGGTGGTTGGTTCCTAATGTAAAAAGGAGGTAAAACCCTCCTTTCCAAGGGCTGCACTGGAAATTTGAGTGTTTTCACTTTAATTTTGGGAGAGTCCCAGAAAACTTGTGAGTAGAAAGTGAAGCCATGGTTACATTAATCTATGCTCAGGCCTTCAGAACACTTTACTGCTGTAGGCTGCAGAGGCAGCTTGTGGTTTTAAGTAGTAAACGAAGACCACTTACTATATGAGCCAAGCCTGAAGACTTGAGTTCAGCACTTAGGAGAGAAATGACTCCACAAGGGAGCCTTTGCTCATCACATGCAGGCCCCAGGATGTTTTATTTATATTTTATATTCATTGGGGTTTAGTCTGCATGTGTGTCAGTGTGAGGATGCCAGATGGCCTGGAACTGGAACTACACACCGGTGTAAGCAGCCACATGGGTGCTGGGAATTGAACCCAGGTTCTCTGGAACAGAAACCAATGCTCTCAACCACTGAGCCACCTCTCCAGCCTCCATTATTCTTAAATTTTTCTATTTATGTGTGTGGGTGTTTTGCCTGCATGATTACATGCAGTACCGGTGGAGGCTAGAATGCAGTGACGAATCTCTCAGAGATAGCCTTACAGCTCATTGTGAGCCATTCTGGAACCCAGGTCCCCTGGAAGAGCAGACAATGAGCAAACTTATGGTGGTTTAATAAGGATCAGGAAAAACAGATCAGGAAAAAATAAGGAACAGGAAAAATAGATGTTTATTCAGGGAGAAATAACAATAGAGACAGATGAGTACCAGCAGGTTCCTGGTCCCAAGGATGTCCGGATGCTCTTTGTCCCAGACCTAGTTCCCCCAGGTCACATCTGCCCCTGTCCCCACCCCAATGGGCGTGGTCAGTGCCACAGGTGCAGACAAAGTGAATATCTCACTACACAGCCTCTATAACCCTCTTTATTTATTATCACTTTTTTGTTTGTTTGTTCTTGATTTTTTCCTCAAGACAGGTTTTCTCTGTGTAGCCCTGGCTGTTCTGGAACTCACTCTATAGACCAGGCTGGCCTCTGACTCAGAGATCCACCTGCCTCTGCCTCACAAGTGCTGGGATTAAGGGTGTGTGCCATTGCCTTTTCAAATTCCTTGCAAAAATTACATGTACTGGGGGCTGGAGAGATGGCTCAGAGGTTAAGAGCACTGACTGCTCTTCTGAGTTCAATTCCCAACAACCACATGGTTCGATCTGGTGCCCTCTTCTGGTGTGCAGGCAAAATACTGTATACACAATAAACAAGTCTTTTAAAAAGAAAAAGAATGTACTTAGTGTGTCATAGTCAGGGTTTCTATTGCTAGGACCAAACACTATGACCAAAGCAATTTAGGGAGGAAAGGGTTAATTTGGCTTACACTTCACTGTTGATCATTGAAGGAAGTCAGGACAGGACCCTGAATGCAGGAGCTGATAGAGAGGCCATGGAGAAGTGCTGCGTACTGTCTCTCTCAGCATTCTTCCTTACAGAACCCATAACCACCAGCACAGGGATGGCACCACCTACAGCCAGATCTTATGGAGGCATTTTCTCTACTGAGCTTCCCTTTCAAATAACCTAGCTTAGTTGACATAAGACTAGCTAGTGCATGTGTCACATCACAAGCGTGGGCGGCAGAGGACAATTTGCAGGAGTCAGTTCTCTCCTCCTACTGTGTGTGTCACAGGAATGAAGCTAAGGTCCTAAGGCTGGTGGCGAGTGCTGTTATCCAGAGTCATCTTGGCAGTCCTATTTTAGCTTTCCCGATTGGAAATGTCTTTATATGGGAGGCCTTCTTGGCAAATGTTAATTGTGCTAGCATTCTCATCCTCGGCAGGTGGAAGCCTTCCTTTCAACTCTGCATGGCCTTCCTGGGTCCATTTACATTTTCTTTCTCTTGCTTTAATACCTGCTTACCTCAACCTCACAAGGTACACAGTAGGTTCTTCTCAGGACTTGGGCGTGTTAGCTCAGCAGACCCCTTCCCTAATTTGTGTTGCCCTAGGCATGGATAGATGGATGTCTGTGGCGGGGGGGGGGGGGGGGGGTCTCTCACACTCAAATCCCAACTACTCAGAGGCTGAGGATGAAGGGTCATTTTGGGGGGAGAGGCCAGAACAATCATTTATTACGATTAAACTTTATTCAGGGGGAAAGAACTATCCAGGGTGGGAGGGGCTCTGGAGAAGGGTTACCAGGAAGGTACTCTAAAGACCTCTGCAGTTCCAGGCCATCTTAGGCAGTAGAGCAAGACTGTCTCAAAAAAGTAAAGTTACCCTGTGTTTGAAGTCCAGAGGGGAGAGCGCCTGCTGGGCAAGCATGAGGACTGGAGTTCAAATCCCCAACGCCCACATAAAAGCCAAGCATGGCCGATGGATGGCATCTGTAACCATCGGGCGGGGGAGGCCAAGGATCCCTGTAAGTTCCTGGCCAGCCAGGATGTCACATCTCCAGCTCCAGGTTCAGTGGGGACTCTGTCTCGCGAAGAAGACATGTGACAACCTCGGGCCTCCTAGTGCACCCACACACACAGGTTAAAAAGAATCTGTTGGCGTGGTGAGATAGCTCAATGAGTAAAGGTGCTTGCTGCCAAGGCTTCCTACCAGAGTTCAACACCAAGGACCCACAAGGTGGAAGGCGAGGCGCAAAGCCCTCAAGTCCCGGACCTCCCCATCTACACATACACCACACAAACCAAGGGTGGATGTCGAACCCCGACATCCCCAGCACTCATAGGGGAGGGAAACACTGCCCGGTGTTTCAAAGGCCCTGTGCTTTACTCCTCCCACGGCTGGGGAAACTGAGGCTGACTCGCCTTGGCACAGCCTGGGCGGACGCCTGGAAAGCCCTTCCTCCTCTACGCTTAGCCCTGTGAAATCCATGCGAGGAGGACGGCCTTGCTGACAGCTGAGCCACCGGGATCTCAGAACGGTTTCCCCCAAATCCTCCCCGCCCGGTGAAAGGAAAAGCCGGACTGTTCAGAAGCCAGGTCTGCACAAGGATCGGGGAACGGTACCTAAGAAAGTCCGGGAGGACGGCCCACGCTCTGCCACCGAGACGACAGGGCAGAGGGTCGCCCTGGACGGCCAAGCCCCGCCTCCGCCCGCAGCGGAAGCCGGAAGCAGCCGCAGGCCCCGCTAGCCCCGCGACGTCCAACTCGATAGTCTCGGAGGTCCACAGCATTGGCGAGAAGATGGCGGAGGAGGAGTGAGTGCGCTGCTGCGGGTGGCGGAGGCGCAGGGCCGGGCCGGTGGGCGACGACGGGCCTCGGGCGCCCGGGTGGAGTGGCTCTGGTCTTGCCGGCCAGGGTCGGCAGGAGGGCGGGATGGGGACTCGGGCCCTGCGGCTTCCCCGAGGTCATACATCGGCCTTCCGTAGCGTAGCCGGGCGGAAGCGCGAACATAGTTCCCTCACCCCGCTTCCGGTTATCCGAGGTGCCCCAGGCGCTCCTCCTCCTCCAGGAAGTCCTCCCATTGCCACACAAGCATCAGCAGCCTTCAGTGTTCGTGTGTGTCCCCAGAAGGTTTCGTTCGTTAACTGCTGGTTGTCCGCTCCGCCCGGCCTTGGGCTCCAGGAGCTGCCCTCAGGGGCAACCATCCTACTGTAGGAGGAGGCTGTAGGCAGGGTGCTTCCCGCCCCGCAAATGCTTGCAAGGAAACTGAAAGGTGTGAGTGGTGAGGAGCCAGCCCCGGAAGAAAATGTCTTGTGACCCAAACCTTGAATCCACAGAAAGATAGGGAGGGTGACAAGTCAGGAAAGGCTGTAGCTCAGTGAGCCCCTAGCTCAGCCCTTCCGGGAAAGAAAATGGAGAGGGCGAGCACTTGGGAGTGATGCTGTGACAGCTGGTTGACAGTGTAGAGCTCCAGCCCTCTGCGCATGTGCCACCGTTAGTCCATCTTCATACTTGGCAGGACACTGTTGTGTGTTACAAATTCTGCCTTTGGAATGCGCTCCTGAAAATTAACAAGGAACCCTTAAATGACACTGAACTTGTACTGGGGTCAGAACATTTCAGGTATCTCTTGGCCAATCTGGTACCAAGTCATTAACTCAGTGTGTATCTGGGCAGTTCAAGACTAAGGAGAAAATGTAGAGGCAAATGGTTTGAAGTGTGTTTCGAGTCTTGAGATGCTGTGTTACTAGATCCTGGAGTGGGCAGGGCTCAGTGTATGCCACCTGTTATCATAACAACTATGTCACTCCTGCAGTAATTCACAGATCTAACACTGAGAGCAAGGGCCAAAGCCTTGGGTAGCCTGAGGGACAGAGCAGGCAACCTGAACCTTTTGAGGCTCAAGAAGTGTTAGGTAGAGTAGGGTAGGGAGGGCATTCTGAACACAGCTGGGCAAACTCAGATGACTTCCTCAGTTTATGGAAGTAATCCCAGAAGGGCTGAGATCTAAGTGGTAGAGCCTGGCCTGCCACACACAGGGTCCTGGATTCAGTCTGCAGTAATACATACAGTGCATGCGAAATCCAAGGAGAATGTAAACTAGGAGGTAAAGGCACCAAGTAAATAGAGTAGAACCTGGGGTGTGGGGAGACACCAGTGCCACCCCGGTGGTTTGTTTTGTTTCTTCCTTTTTGAGACCGGTTCATGTGGCCCACGGGACTGATCTTGAACTCACTGTGTATCCCCGTGTAGCCCAGAGGGCCCTTGGTCTTGAATTCCCAATTTTCCTGCCCTTGTCTCCCCAGTGCAGGGATTATAGGCAGCATTTCCTCAGTTGTTCTTGGTTTTGGTAAGGAGAAAGGACTGACCTGGCCTGTAGAGTGATGTGCACGGGGCAGGTGCTCTACTGCTCAGCAGTGTTTGTTTGTTTGTTTGTTTACTTGAGGCAGAGTTTCACTCTAGCAAACTTGTGGTCCTCCCGCAAGTGTGTTAAGCTGGTGGTGTTAAGTTCCTCTTTTACTTATTTTGAGACAGTGTCTCACTAAGTTTCCAAGGCTGGCTTGAACTCGCTATCCCCTGCAGACTTTTAACTTGTGGTTCTCCTACCTAATCAACTGTTTGATAGCCTTAGACTGAGCATTTGTGTTTTGTTAGATAGGGTTTCATGTGGCCCAAGCTGGTCTTTTAGCTAAAAAACACTATCACATTCTTTATCCTTCTCCTCTTCTCCTGAGTGCTGGGATTTATAGATCTGTCCCTGCACGCACAAGCGCGCACACACACACACACACACACACACACACACACACACACACCTGGTTTATGCAATACTAGGGATCTAACCCAGAACCTCCTTTTGTGCACTACCAGCTGAGCTGCATCCCTGGCCCTAGACCCAGCATTTTGCATTCCTTTCTCCACAAGCCTGACCCCCCCCCCCTTCCTGACCTCTGGATGGCCAGAGGTCACTGGCATCTGGTACCTTGCAGGCAGGGCTTTTCCCCTCCTCAAGGCCTGCCTGCTATTTGTACCCTTGGGGCTTTGTTATGTCTCATTTGTTCAGTCAAGGTGTGTGTTTTGATGCCTTGATGCTTCTTTATGTGACTACCACTTGTGTGTTTCCAACAGGTTCTCCAACACAACCCATGAGAGCTTCAACTTCACCCTTCACACTACTCTGGGTGTCACCACGAAGCTGGTGCTCCCGACACCTGCCAAGCCCATCCTTCCGGTGCAGACAGGGGAGCAGGCCCAGCAGGAGGAGCAGTCAAGTGGCATGACCATTTTCTTCAGCCTTCTCGTCCTAGGTGAATAAGCCCAAGGGTGTCTGTTACCTGTCGAGACTCCCCTTCCTGAAATCAGAGGCCTAGCGGTTCTGAAAAGCTGTTAATACAATGTCTTAGCTTTTGAAAAACAAAACACCAACTATTTTTCAGACAGAATCTCTCTATGTACAGCCCTGGCTGTCCTAGAACTATCTTTGTAGACTTAAGATGACCTCAAACTCACAGAGATCCAACCACCTCTGCCTCCCTCCCGTGTGCTGAGACTACAGGTGTGTGCCACCATGCCTGGCCAAGAAAGAGCTTTTGATCTAGACAGATGTGGTGGCTTGTACTTGTAATGCCCTTGCTGGGATGACAGAGACAGGAAGATTTCTTGGGGTCATTGGCATGTCCGTCTATTTGAATCAGTGAGCTCCAGGTCTATTGGAGACCCTGTTTCAAAGAAGGTGGGAACCATTTCTGAAGATAACACCCAAGATGTCTTCAAGCTTCCCAGAGGCACCTGGCTCTACACCCAGTTTTTAAAAATACATCTGAAGCCACATAAATACTTTAGATAGTAGTTCTCAACCTATGGGTCACTGCCCCTTTGTGGGGTCAAGTGACCCTTTCACAGGGATCGCCTAAGACCATTGGAAAACACATATATTACAATTCATAACAGTAGCAAAATTACAGTTATGAAGTAGCAACAAAAATAATTTTATGGTTGTGGGTCAGCACAACAGAAGAGACTGTATTAAAGGGTCGCAGCATTGGGAAGGTTGGTCAGCCTTCTCCCAAGTGCTGGCATGTACCACCACCCCAGGCCTTACTTACCCTCTGCTCTGCTCTTCGGTGATACCACAGTTGTCTTTTGGATTAGACATTTCCAGGACAGGAGGCAGACTGGGTTTTGAGTATTTTCTTTCTTGAGACAGGGTCTCAGTAGTTCAGGCTGGCCCCCAATTTCGTAGCTGAGGATACCTGACCTTGAACTTGTGATTCTTCTGCCTTCCCATTGCTGGGATCATAGGTATACCACCATGCCCTGTTTGAGTATTTCTCTGATGTCTGTTAGGACTAGGTTTTGAAAACAAAAAAATTTCCTCACATTTATATTCAGACTGTAGTAAATAGTCAAAGAATTGAATTGAACACCATAATAAAGACCATTAGGTGTTTTGTTTTTGTGAGGCCCAGGCTGCCCTCAAACTCCCAAGGTCCACCTGTCTTTTCCTTCCCAGTGTTGGATTGCAGGTGAGTAGGCAGGCATCACCACACCCTGTCTTTTGTTGTAGCCCTGGAGCAGCAAATCTTTTATCAGATTAAGAAATCTTTACCGTATGAGGGTTTCTTGAAGGGTGTTGACCAATGGTCACTGTTAGAGGCTATGAGACATGCCCGGAAAGGGCTTTTGTAGCCTGTTTGTTACTGAGGCATTGGAGGTCACTTTCAGGGTGTGGAGCGCTTAAACTTGGCTTGGCTGTTACCACAGGACTGGCCTGCACAATGTGCTTTCTGCTCTAGCTTGCAGTTGCTAATTCACCTGGAGGCAGGCAGGGCTGCACCCTGCTCAGAGGCTCCAGGTTCTCCTGGGTCATTGGCTCCTTGTTTGTTTGTTTGAGACTGGGTCTCACTGTGTAGCAGCTTTGTCTGGCCTGGAATTCAGCGATAACTGCTTCTGCCTTCCCAGGTGCTAGGATTAAAAGTGTCTGCCACCCTGCTGGGCTCCTAGGGTGACTTTGAACTCCTGATCCTCCTGCCTCCACCTCTCTGGATCACTGGCATGTGGCACTATACCTGACTCAAAGGTATGGTTTTTCCTGTGTCCCTGTGCTATCGCTAGCCATTCCTAATGAGGTTTCCAGACAAACAAAGCCAACTGATAAGAGGAAACTATGAATGAGTGACTGAAGAACTCACTGACCCTCCTGTGAGCTGCTGGTGACTAGTGTGCTAATGTTTTCTAGACCTTGAGAACCCTTTCCAGCCATACAGCCCCTGCTTTTGTTTCTATCTGAGTGAAGTCATTGGAATTGTAACCTGGTGTTCTCCTAGCTTGTCACAGCAGTCCAGCGTGGCCCTTGGCTGAGGGGAAGTCTTTACCTTGCATTTCACCCCCAGAGTTTTGACTCCACAGGAAAACAGTGAATCTGTTACCATTTAACCCTGTCTGGCACAAATGTTCTAGTTATTGGGTACACACCAAGTGTTCTGGACAGAAAGGCCGAGAAACATTAGCTCCAAATAGATGTGGCTGAGCACAGAATCCCACCAGTCCCTGAATTTGCCCAGAGTCTGATGATAGAATTTCACTAATTCCCGAGCTTACCCCACGATCAGCCACCTGAGTAGACCATTATAACTTTAGGAATTAAAAGGCCTTAATGATCAAATATGTGTTGTTATATCCTGTTTTCCATAAATTTTGTTCATGGTTTTATCCTTATCTGTTATGTTTCGCTCATGGTAAAAATCATCATACAAAAATCAGTTCTAATCCACAATATTTTGAAGGCCTGCAGTTGCCTCATTAATGTAGGGGAAATAAAATAAACCATCGTGGAGGTCTGGTGTTGTCTCCTTACTCTAAAAAGGGAGATGCAGTAATAGACAGAGCTCAGTGAGACTAGTTGCTTTGTTGGTGCTGGTTTATACCCTGTGGTCACCTTAACCAAGATGGTAGTGAAGTCACATGGCATGCCCTCTCTTCAACCTTAGCGATGACAGCTGCTGGCCACATGGCTGCTCCCATCCAGATGAGGTCATCAGTCAAGATGGCAGCAGGCCATGGTTGCTGTTTACTCCATGGTGAGCCCTTCAGGGACATTTCCTTTTCTTTTTAAAAACATCTATTTTCTAAATAAGAGTTGAATCAAAGTTCAGATTTTATAGATCTTTTAAACATATCCAGTGAATTACAAATCCTGGGATACAAAGGATATAGAAGTTTATACTTTAGCAAAAGTTTTTAGCGATGTTGGGGATAAATTCAGAGAGTTAAACATTGTGATTATACTTTGTCATTTTTTGGAGCTGGTAAACAAAACTGAGAAGAGGACTCTGAGACAAGCAGCAGAACCCTTCTGGGAATAGTCTACTTTTTAGCTCTTTTAAGCACATAGTGTGTTTTCCTGAGCCACTCTGTTATGCTCTCCTTCCTGTCACAGATTTGGTAGCCAGACTGACCCAGGACAAAAACTTTGGAGGAAACTTAAACATGCATGCTTGGGTCTGGAGAAGGAGGGCCAAATCCAAGCTCCAGAGTTAGCCTTTTTAATAAAGTAGAATGGCATGTGGCAGTTTTTAATGTTAGCCGTATCCAAAGACATTGAATCCCTAGAAAATGAATTTAATGATCAGAGGTAGAGAACTGAACAGAGAGTAGAGAAAGCTCATTGGCTTGTGTGTGGCAGAAGTTGGGAGAACCTGGAAATTGAACGTGCCAGTTTTTGGCCATGGAGGTTGACTATTGTACTGAGGTCTAGCCTTTTGCTGTAGGAGGTTCTAACAGAATCTCTGAGTCCAAGGAGGAAAAGAGAACAGAGGAGGCTGGTGAGGAGTCATGAGTCTACTCATAGGAGGGCTTGTGGTTAGAGGCCGGAGCAAACAGAGAGAGAGTGCGCAGGAGAGGAGCACCTTTGGAAGCGGAGTGGGGAGGAGGTGGGAGAGGCTTAGGGGAAGGGTCACTAACAGCAACTCTGCCAGGGCATGGATTCCAATATTGTAGAGCCCCCAGGAGAGCATAGAGAAGCTGCCAGATTACCTGCAAAACTTCTATGGAGGAGGCTCCAGTGCCAAGAGGCAGAGACAGAGCAGATAACTCCTAGTGTGAGGCAAGGAGAGACAAATGGTTAGTGGTGATATAATCTAAAGCTCCCTGGGATTCAACACCAAATATAACTGATGATGCAGAGAAGCTACCAAACTAGACTGATCCCTGGGCAGAAAGGTTTATTGGGGATCAAACTGATAAAGCCATTGGGTGGGGGGCCAGAGAGAAGAGCAAATAAATTGTGGGAAAGCAAACAGATGTTATATGACAGTCAGCAGGTGGGGATCTGAGTTAATACAGGGTGTTAGAATTGACTGGGACTAGGTGACCTTTCCAGAGGCAGTTGACCTTTGAGACAAGGTTAAGGAAGGTTCTTGGAGGATTATGGATGTTCTATGACATCCTGGAACCCAGTTTAGAGAGATCTGCTTTTCTGATAAACAGAAACCTGCCTAAGGCCTGTTTATCTAGTAATGGTCCTTCTGTTTACTCACCCAAAGTCCCTGTGTAAACTGACATGACTGCTCCTTGGTATGGTTAAGAAGGGGGTTTATTGTAGATATGAGAGAACAGCAGAAGCTTCTGAAGAGCAGAGGGAAAGAGAAGTATGAACATGGCCAGGGCTGCCTGAGAGAGGGGTGCCTTGCAGGGGACAGAGAGTAGAGAAAAGGTGAGAAACAACAGCGGGGTTATAAGGAGAATGAGTATCTGTGGGGGGGGGGGGGGGGATCTGTGAGCTGGAGAGAGTCTGGGGTGTGATAGGAGATGAGGAGGGCAAGGGTGCTCGCATGGGCTGTGAAGTATGTACTGGGTTCTTGTGCTACTGAGGGACCCTAGGGGCAGCATGGGCTTTGGGATGCTGATAGACAACACAGCTAGCCATATGACCCTTCTCTCCAGAGGTAAGGGAAATGACTCCTTTTGGTAGATAGGAACCAATTTCACAAGTTCCTGAGGAACGCTGGTTTTTAATCTGACCACCAGAAAAGTTCCTGTAGCCCAGGTTGAGCTTAATGGACTGTCTTTTGGATCTAACATTAACCACTAAAGTAATACCGTTCATTGGTTCATTGGTGCTTACCACATCCACAATATTGCTATCCCTTGTGATGAGTCTTTATACCCACAGCCAGCTCCCAAATAACAACATAGAGACTTCTTATTATGAATTCTCCACCTTAGCTTAGGCTTGTTCTTATATCTTAGATTAACCCACTTATATTAATCTGCATTTTGCCATGTGGCTCAGTTACCTCATGTCTGTACTGCCCATCCTACTTTCTCTGTGTCTGGCTGATGATTCACCTTTCTTCCTAGAATCCTCTCTTTACCCCAGAAATCTTGCCTAACCTCTTCCTGCCTAGCTGTTGGCCATCCAGCTCTTTATTAAACCAATCAGAAGGCGCCTTAGACAAAGACACATAATATGGTGTACACAAATATTCCACAACAATCCCTACCATCTGCTTCTAGAAAACTGCCATCACCCCAAGAAGAAACTTCAGTCCAAACTATGACTAACTGTGGTAGGACACTCCCTCTCCTGAAGACAGCATGTTGGTCATGCTGTCCCTGGGAGTTACCAAGTGAGTTAGCTTCTGTAAACAGACCTGAACGACATGTGGCTGAGTCACTTGACATAGTGTCCTCAGGACATTATGGGGCTGTGGAGGTAGTTTAGTGGTTAAAGGCACTTGCCATCAAGCCTGACAACCTGAGTTCAGTCTCCAAAATCCCATATAATAGGATGAGAGACCCAACTTCTAAAATTGTCCTCTGAACCTACATACTCCCTTCTCCCACTAAATAAGTGTAATAAGGAAGACTTTGAAATTCACCTGTGTTACACAAGAGCTCACTGCTTGTAGCTGTAGAGTATCTCATGTGTTCAGTGCTGACTTTAGATTTTGAGCACTCTCCCTCTTGGCTGTTGGGGACAATGTTACTGTGAACACTAAGACAGGTGGTTGTATAATGTGCTCCTGTTTCTTTTGCTTGAATGCCTAGGAGGGGAATGAAGGCCCAGGGCTCCTGTAGGACTTCAGTCTCCATGGTGTTACCAGTGATGATGTCTTCCTGTCATTGGCTTTGGTTAGTTTTGTTTTAGAGACAGAGTCTCACTGTGTAGGCATGGCTGGCCTAGAACTTGTTATGTAGTCAGATTGGCTCTCAAACTTAGAGGTCTTCCTGCCTCTGCTCCCAGAGTGCTGGGATTAAAGGTGTGTGCCAACATACTTTTTAAAATTTTTTTATGTAATTTGTTTTGCTTTTGTTTTTTTGAGACAGGGTTTCTCTGTATTGTTTGGAGCCTGTCCTGGAAATAGCTCTATCCGTAGAAACAAGCTGGCCTCAAACTCAGAGATTCACCTGCCTCCGACTCCTGAGTGCTGGGATTAAAGTTGTGGCCACCAACACCGGGCAAGAGTACTGGCTGCTCTTTCAGAGAGAGACCTGAGTTCTGTTTCTAATATCCAGATGGGTCAGCTCAAAGCCTCCTGTAACTCCAGCTCCAGGGGAGCTGATGCCTTTTTGCCTTAGGGTTTCAGTTGCTGTGAAGAGACACCATGACCATGGCAACTCTTATAAAGGAAAGCATTTAACTGGGGTGGCTGACAGCCTCTGCTGTTTATTGTTATCATGGTGGGACATGGCAGCATGCAGGTAGATGGGGTGCTGGAGAAGGAGCTGAGAGTCCTGCATCTTGATCCCCAGGCACAGGAAGTGAATTATGATACCAGTTATAACTTGAGCTTATGGCACCTCAAAGCCTACCCCTACAGTAGCACACTTACTCCAATAAAGCCACACCTCCCTTTGGGGGCCATTTTCCTTCAAACCACCACCCTTTTTCTGGCCTCCATGTGCATCCCCATGCATGTTTACATACATACATACATACATACAAACAAATAAACCCGCTTGTTAGAAGCAGCAGAGACCTCCCTTCTCTCATCTCATGGGCTCAAGATGCAGGACCCTCAGCTCCTTCCCCAGCACCCCATCTGCCTGCATGCTGCCATGTCCCACCATGATAACACATGTGGAAGTTAGAAGATGACTTTCCGGAGTTGGTTTCTCGGTGAGGTTGTTGAGCAAGCATCCCCATCCATCCTCCTAACCATCTCTCTGGCTTGTCCACTGCCCCCTAAGATGAGGTGTTTCACTGTGTAGCCCTGGCTATTCATTGTGAAGAACAGGCTGGCTTTGAACTCAGATCTTTGTGGGCTGCCGTCAGAGCCAGCCTAGCAGCCCGAGGTTCATACCTGAGAGGAGGAGTATGGACTAAAGAAAGGCTAAGTAAAGATGTTAAAGGAAAAGAGGGAGACACAGAATAAAAGCAGGAGGGCCAATCAGTCAATACTGAAATGCTACCAGTTTATTTTTAACCACTCTTACAATCCTTAACAAAAGGGGAACATGGTATCATGTATACTGAACAAACAGACCTTTCTTCCTCATTTCTCCAAGAATTTAGTAATCACACCTTAGATTCAACTTCTTGCTTCCTGGCCTCGAGGATCAGGAGTAACCACCCCTTAGACCAGGTCTGTTGTTAATAGAACAAGACACCCAAGGCCTAGATCGAACATCCTACTGTAGCCACGCCCTTGACCTTTAGGTCTTATGACAGTGAGGACAGTTTTGAATTCTCTTGTGCTTGAGCCAAGATGGAGTGGAACCATTTTTATGGGCACTGACATATCCACCTGCCTCTGCCTCCTGGAGTGCTGGGATTAGAGGTGTGCACCACCACACCCAGCCTGTGTGTGTGTATTTTAAGGCTGGATCTCACTATATAATCTGATGTATCTTCTAGGCAGGGAGTGTCAGTTAGTTGGTTAGATCTTACCAACACACAAAACCCTGGATTCAGCCCCTAGCATAATCTGGGCATCTATAATCCCAACCCCGGGAAGGTAGAAGCAAAAACATCAGAAATTCAAGGTCATCCTCCTATACCCCTGCACATAGCAAGAATAGCAGCATAGACAACCTGAGACAAGGCTTAAAAAAAACAACAAAGCCAGGCGGTGGTGGCACACACCTTTTTCTCAGGAGGCAGAGGCAGGCAGAGCTCTGTTAGCGAGGATAGCAGGGTTACATACAAATGAGGACTACATAGTAATACCCTGTCTCAAAAACAAAACAAACAAGAAGCAAACCATTTGTGGGACTAAAGATGGCTCAGTGCTTAAGAGTACTTTTTGCTCTTTCAAAGGACCCCAGTTCAAATTCTCAACACCCACACAATGGCTAACAGCGGCCTATAACCAGTTCTAGGGGATCCAGTGCCCTCTTCTGGCCTCCACCAGGTACTACATTCACGTGTTGCACATACATACATGGCAGGCTTTTCTTTGTGTGTGTGTGAGGTGGGGAGCAAATGCACACCAGGGCAGCCCTCAGAAGTAGAATCTGTGCTTGTACATGGTTGTAGAAATCGAACTCTGGTTGTCAGGATTATCAGAAAGTGTTTCTATCTGCTGGACCATCTCACAGACGGACTCTGTAAATAGTCTTTTGTTGTTAAAGCTGGGCAATGGTAGCACATGCCTTTAATCTCAGCACTCAGAAGGCAGAGGCAGGTGGATCTCTGTGAGTTCAAGGCCAGCCTGGTCTACAGAGTGAGTTCCAGGACAGCCAGGGCTACATAGAGAAACCCTGTCTTGAAAAACCAAAAAGGAAAAAAAAAAAAAATATGACCAATATTCATTGTTTGCTTGCCAAATGTCTGTTAGCCCGAGATAGCCACTGCCCTGAGCTTCCTGTCTCTTGCCTGATGAGTCTTTTAAATAGTGCTTGTCCTTCTCACAGCCATCTGCATCATCCTGGTGCACCTGCTGATCCGGTACCGACTGCACTTCCTGCCTGAGAGTGTGGCTGTCGTCTCTCTAGGTAGGTGATACTGGCAGTCTGTTCCAGAACACCACCCCATACACAATAGTACTGTTTCTCCTGGGGCCACCTCAGCGCCACATCTGTAAGAGATGTGTGACTTTCCCAGTTCCTGTCATCCTTTCCAAAGCTTGCCACGGGGCCTTAGAGTCCATTTTATGGTGGGCGAGGGGTGGAGGTCTGAGAAAGGTGCTGACCCCTAAAGGTGACAGAAGCCGACTTAACCACGGCAGCTCTTTCTGTGACCTACCACCTTTCCCCATGCAGTGCCCAGCTCCACTGAAGTTGGTGGTTGGTAGTTAGCTTGTAGAGTCATTGTCACAGCCAGAAAGAAGGGCCCTAGCTTTACAGATGACAGATGACTCCTGTAGTGCCAGAGCCTTCCTGCCTCCCTCCCTTTCTGGGGCATTTCAGAAAAGGGTTAAAAAGCTACTTCAGGGAATTGACAGTTTCTGGATAGTTTTACCATTTATTAGGAATAAATATTGTGGGGCAGAGAGATGGCTCAGCAGTTAAGAGCAGAGGTTCCTCTTCCAGAGCATCCAGGTCCCATTCCCAGTACCGACATGACAGTTCACATCTGTTACTCTAGTTCTAGGAGATCTGATGTCCTCTTCTGGCCTCTTTGGGTACTGCATACAGGTGGTGAACAGACTGAGGACAAAATACCAATTTGCATAATAAAATAATAAATATTTGGCCAGGTGCACACTGGAGGCAGAGGCAAGCAGGTCTCTATGAGTTTGAGGCCAGCCTGGTCTGTGTGTCAAGTTCCAGGACAGTCAAGGCTACCCTGTCTGGAAAAAAAAAATAGAATAAAAATTGGTTGAGTGGTTGAGAGCATTGGCTGCCTTTACAGAGGGCCTAGATTCAGTTCCCGGCACTACGTGATAGGTCACAATCATCTGTAACTCTAGTTCTAGGGAATCTAATGCCCTTAGGCAACAGACATGCTTGAAGTGCACAGACATATAAGCAGGCAAAACACCCACACATACAATTTTTTTCAAAAAAATGAATCTTTAAAAATAATTAAAAATGAAGGGCAGGAGAGGTGGCTTGGGTTTTAAGAGCGTTTGCGGGTTTTCCAGAGGACACAGTTGAGTTTCGAGCACCCACATCAGGTGGTTCGGAACTGGCTATGACTTCAGAGGGTCCGATATCTACTTGTGAGCATGTGCACACATCCATATTTAGGTAGAATGCTAAATGCTGGTGGTTCTCCGACACCAGTACTGCAGACATGGCTGCCTGGCAAGAGTCCTTTGTCACTTGTTTCTTGGAAATAGAACCTTGGTTGTACTTGGGTTTTGTTGCTGGGGACTGAACCCAGGGTCCCACAGGGCCTAGGCAGGTAGAAGCTCTCCCATTGAGCTATAGTCTCACCCACCTTTGGTTTTTTGAGACAGGGTTTCTCTTGTGTACCCCTGGCTGTCTTGTAATACCCTCTGTAGACCAGGCTGGTCTCGAACTCAGATCTGCCAGCCTCTGCCTCCCAAGTGCTGGGATTAAAGATGTGCACCACCACTGCCCAGCAGAATTCTCATTTTGATCTGGCATCTTTTTGTAGGGCCCAAGGAGGAAGGGATGCTAGGATAGTTTTGGTCTTGGCTATCGTGCTATAACTTATTTCTTTGCTGTGACTCATTGAGAGGGATAAGACAGTTGGGCCAAAGGGGAAGTGTGGTTGGAAAAAAGACGTTTTCCTTCCTGGTAGACTTAAGAGAAGTTAGCCTCCCCTTCCTTTGAGGATGTGATGCCTGAGGCACTGTAGCCAGAGTAATCAGTGTGGCCAAGGGACAGATGGGAAGGCAGGTTTCTTGGTTTATTGTTGTTTTCTTGAACTGGCGGCCCACTATAACCTGGAGCTGGCACATGATTCAGTGGGTAAAAGTGATTGCTGCCAAATCTTCAGCTTGAGTCTGATCCCTAGCTTTCCACTTGGGGTGAAAGGAAAAAACTGACTTCTCCAGGTTGTCCTCTGAGCTCCACACTATAGCATGGACACCCCCACCCCCCATAAAATGATTAGTTTTTAACTGACTTGGAATGGAAAGAACATGTTCTCCAGCTGGAGCATTCATTGTGTCACAGCTGAGCTGGCCACTTCAAGAGCAACTCCACATGAGGCTGAAAGGAAGCAGGCCTGTCCCCTTGGGTACACATGGCCTGCAGTCACTTAGTGCGTATTAATCGGCCCTTTGTGTTGAGGTTAAGAGGACCTCCGTCCACACTTAAAAGCATTTCCTCTTCCACTTCACTGTCCTTTGAATAAGAGCCTAGCTGTCTCTTCACATGCTATAAAAACAGTTCCATCATTCACAGGAGCAGCAATGACTCAAAGACAGCTGTATCACCAAAGTCCACCCCAGCATGGGTGACAGCTCACAAAGAGGAAACCTCCTGCCGGCAGCTTAACAGGTAAAGCTGGCATTTCCAGGCTGCTCAGCTGTTCCTTCCAGACAGCTACAGCTGCTGGGAGAGGGCAAGGCAGGCTTTTTAAAGGGCTATGGCCTCAGTAGAAGGCCACATATCCAAGAGTATTTATGGACAGCATGTATGGACTTGATGGTTTGTTTTGTGAGACAAGATCTAGCTATTGTAGCCTTGGCTGTCCTGGAACTCACTATATAGACCAGGCTGGCCTCAATCTCACAGAGATCATCTGTGCATCACTATGGCTACTATGTTTGTTAAAGAATAAAAGGACACAAAGTTTAATAACATTGCAGAAAATAAAGGAAAAAACAAAAATCAGAGATAGAAGGGTCAGGAATTCAAGGCTCTCCTTAGCTGCACAGTTTGAGGCCAATCTCTGAACTGGCCTCTCTCTAGTCACCTCAACCCGCCTTCCATTATAAACCACACATAGCAGTTGTGTGTGCGCCCTTGCTGTTTTGCATATGTAGAGGTCAGAGGACAGCTCTTGGGAGTTGCTTCTCTTTGTAGCGTGTGGGTCCTGGGTTAGAATTCATTTAATCAGGTTTAATGGTAAATGCCTTTGCCACCTGTGCCACCCCACCCCTCAACCACCATTTTTAAACAGTAGGAATAAGTAGTGTAAGACAATCCTGAAACTAGGTGGCCCAGGGAGGTGACCAGCTGTGTGTCCTCCACACCAGGCAGAAGAGTGACAAGTAGGTTTTTCTTCTTCCCAACATATCTTAGATTTTGCCATAGTATGCACCTGAGATAAAAGTGGGAAATGCACAGTGATTTACACTATTTCATGGTAATTCCTGTCTTTATTCTCAGAAACAGACCTGCAGAACTCTAGGGCAGCCTGCTGTAGTGGATAACACCCAGTCCTACCCAGTCCAGCCACGTGACCCTGTGCTGTGTGTCTACTGAGCTTTGCTTTTCCCTTCCAGGTATTCTCATGGGAGCAGTTATAAAAATTATAGAGTTTAAAAAGCTGGCAAATTGGAAGGTAGGTTTGACATAATCACAGCTTTTGCTTGTCTATGTGTGTACGCGTTCATGCGTGTGTGTGTGTGTGTGTGTGTGTGTGTGTGTGTGTGTGTGTGTGTATGCATGAACACATGTATAGGGACCAGAGGTCAACAGTCTTGGCTGTTGCATGTTCTTTTGGAGCTTATTTTTTTGAGAAAGGTCTCTCATTGGCCTGGATCTCATTATGTAGGCCAGGCCAGCAGGCCTTGGAACCCAGGATCCATGATGTCTGCCTCCCTGGTGCTGGGATTCCAAGTGCATCTTATCTTTATGTTTAATTGCTGGAGATAGATCCCTCTGTCTCCTGAGTGCTGAGATTACAGAGTTGCCAACGTACTTAGGTTGGTTTGTTTTTGGGGTTTGTTTTGCTTTGTTTTTTTGAAACAGGGTCTCTTTACCCAGGCTTGCCTGGAATTGTCAATCCTCCTGCCTCAGCCTCCCAAGTGAGACAGATGAATGCCATGGACCCTGCTGGGTCGACGCTTGTTGAGATTGGTGCTGAGGATGGAATCCATGGCCTTGAGCATGCTAAGCATGGGCTTCCCCCTGAGCTACACTCCTGCAACCTACATTTGTTTTTATAAGTGGATGAGATGCAAATGGACTCGGGGCTGCTGGAGGGGCAGAGCCTAATGTTTATCCTGGGCTATAGACTAATGTGCTTGTGAATACTTATGCTTTGAAAAGACCCAAGTGTTGGGGGGGGGTATGGAGAGATGACTGTGGTTAAGTCCTCTATTGTGAACACAGATCCCAGTGCCTATGCTGGACAGGTGATTCACAAATGTCCAGTTACTCTCCAGGAACCTGACCTCTTTTGTTCTATGCGCGCGCGCACACACACACACACACACACACACACACACACACACACACACACGTGCGCGCGCATACAAACTTACTTTTTGAGATTTATTTATGTTTTGTCTGCATGTATGTCCATGGGTGACATATGTGCCTGGTACCCACAGAAGCCAGAAGAGGCATCACATCCCCTGGAACTGGAATAACAGATGTTTGTTAGCCTCCATTTATATGGGTGCTAAGACTCAAACCTGGGTCCTCAAGAACAACCAGTGTTTTTAACCCGAGATGTCTTTTTAATCGCAAGACAAATCTTTAAAAACAAGAAAATTAAGAAAACAAAATTTGTTTTTTGGTATTTTTTTGGTGACAGGGTCACTATATAGTCCTGGCTATCTTGGATCTAGCTACTTACCAGGCTGGCCTTGAACTCATAGAGATCCTCCTGCCTCTGCCTCCCAAGTGCTAAGAGCAAAGGTGTGCACCACCACACCTGTCAAGAAAGCAAAATTTTGAAGGGAAAAGACCACCCAAGTTTCCTTGTCTTTGGGATAGTGGTGTTGGACCCTTACTGCTCAGTCCTAACCACAGTCGCCTCAGACCAGTCTTGGGACACAGCCAAAAGGTGCACGGGCCCTTCCCGTGGGGTCTTCTGGTCTCTCCTGTGACTTGCAGGAAGCTCCCCTAGCTCAGTGAGCATAAGGACTTCACTGTAGTCCCCAGCACAGAAGACAGGAAGCAAAGCAAGCGCACTGTCTGTGGGTCTGCGCCTTTGTCATCTGCTTCTGCCCTTTCCTCACTTGCATTCTTACCCTGACCTTCGAAGACCTATTTCCCAGGCAGATCACAGTCTGAACTTCCCGGTGGACTGGATTGGAGGAGGGAGACACTGCATCCCTGCTGCAAATAGCCCCTCCTTTCCCAGGGCGAGTTGCTCACCGTCAGAGCATGGGCTGTCCTTCACTGTGGTTCTGGAAGTCAGACTCAGGGCTAGTGCCTTCAACCTGTGAGCCATGCTGGCCCTGCGCTGTATGTCAGGCAGGCAGTGCTTTATTGTTTCTGCTTGGTTTGTCCCTGCTTCGGGCATTGTGCATTTCTGCCACGCTAGTCTCAGAGCATAGGATCCCTCAGCTCTCCACTGACTGATGGATAGGTCTCACGGTTGTACAGTCCCAGTCCTGAGTATCCTCTCTTTTTGACTTCACAGGAGGAAGAAATGTTTCGCCCCAACATGTTTTTCCTTCTCTTGCTCCCACCTATCATCTTTGAGTCAGGATATTCACTGCACAAGGTAAGGTTCACTTGCTTAGGTGGAGACAGCTGCTCCTGTCCATGGGGCGGGCTCCTTTAACAGCAGTGGCTGAGACTGACTTGCTGGCCCTGCACAAGTGCTCTGAGCTTCTAGGCAGGCATTTCGAAGGTTGAGGGCCACGGACAGGATGCAGCAAGCCACACGAGATAAGATCTCATGGCATGGCCCTGGTTGGCCTGGACCCCACTGTGTCTCTACTCTACCTGGGTGCCAGGATTAAAAGTGTGTGCCACCACACCTAGCCACAGTACATCCTCTTAACTGTTAAGCCATTTCTCCCCACCCCCAAGGATACTCTTGAAGTAAACCTTGTCCCTAGAAACAAGGAACAGAAATCTTGATCATTGAAACCCTTAGTGGTCCCTCCTGAGTGGAGTCTGTGAGGGTCTAGTAGCTTCATTTTCTTCATCAAATGGAAATGTGGCTATTTTCCATGTTGCCAGAACTCAAATATTTTCTCTCTTTTATGGTAGGTTCTTTTGAGAACCTAACTGGAACTTTGTATGTGGCTGAGAATTTCTGATCCTCCTGCTTACTCCTCCCAGGTGCTAAGATTATAGATGTGTGTCCCAGGGCCTGGTGTATGTAGTTCTGGGGTTAAACCCAAGGCTTCATGCATTGCTAGTCAAGCAAGCACTCAGCAATTTAGTGCATCCCCCTCTCCCCAGCTGAGCTTTCTGCCTGTCAATTTGATGATGCTAACACAGCATAAAGGACTTTCTGACTGATGTAGGAGCAAAGTGGTATGGCTAAGGAGGTTTATACTGTAGATATGAGGGAAAGAATAACCAGAGGCTTCTAGAAAAGGAGAGCAAGAGAGGAAGAGAAGAGGGGCAAGCAGACCAAGAGCAAAGCCAAGAGAGCCTGTGGCCGGAATGGCTGAGTGTGCAGCACTTGGGAGGCAGAGGCAGGCAGATCTCTGTGAGTTCAAGGCCAGCCTGGTCTACAGAGTAAGTTCCAGGACAGCCTCCAGTGCTACAGAGAAACCCTGTTTCCAAAATATGAAAAGGGAGGCGGGGGCGGGGGGGGGGACGGACGGGACAAAATGGCTGAGTTATATAGGAAAGAAAAGCTGGAGGAAGGGAAGGGAAGAGAAAGAAAGCTCAGGGACTGGAGAGGTGTAGGGTATCGGACTGGATGAGAAGTACTGAGAAGAGCCAGTGTCCACTTTGATGTGGTAATTGGCCATGAGCCATTTGTCCCAGGTTGTTTTGGGACCTAACACTGACCATTGTTCTGATCTTGGAGTTTAGGTGCCTTTTCAAAATGCACCTTTTAATTAAGTAGAAAACTGGGATTGTGTGGGTTTTTGACTGAGACCAAACATGGACAGGGTTGATTCTTCCACACCTGTGTTTTGAGCTTCCCTAGCTCAGCAGTTGCCTCTTGTCCCTCTGCTCCCGCCTCCCAGGGGAACTTCTTTCAGAACATCGGCTCCATCACTCTCTTTGCTGTCTTTGGAACGGCGATCTCTGCTTTTGTAGTAGGTGGAGGAATTTACTTTCTGGGTCAGGTAAGCAAAGCACCCCTGATGACCTTGAAGATCTTCTGTCGGAGGGTAATGCAGGGTGGGGCAGCAGCAACCTAGTAGTGTGTGCCCTCCTGGGAGGACATCCCGCTCATGCATGTGACTAGGGCATCACCCCCAGATGCTTGATTTTACTTGCAGCTGGTACGCCTTGAAGCAAAGTAGTGCGCAATGCTGCAGCTTGAAATGGTGCAAGTAGCAGTTGTGTTCTCAGAGCGATTGCAGTAGGGCTGAAAGTTGTTTCTGGATGAAGATTTGCATTTAAAGCAGAGCTGACTGTGAACCTGTTCTCTCAGTTCCCATGATGCTCCCTGCCATTGTCAGCCCTTTGATGGGGCAGTGATGCATGCTGTGGGCTTTGGGCTTCATATCAGTGTACTTCAGCCAGAATGAAGCTCGTGGGCTGGCACTCAGACCTCCATGTGCACACCCATTCTTGTGTCATTTGCAGAAGCTTAGCCACCCCAGTGCTGAGAACAAACCAGTTGCTGCTCATGTGGCCGCCCTCTCAGCGGCCAGAATCAAGTCGGCCCTGCAGCTTTCCTAGATGCTTGCCTTCGCTGTGTCCCCTTGGGGTCAAGGGGAGTCACCTTTAGAGCAGAGGACCACAGCCGCCAGGCTGGAGGAAGGAGAATTGTGCCCACGCTCGGGTCTAGATGCCCATGCATGCTCACAGCAGCCCTTAGGGGTTTTCCTTATTTCCAGTGGGGACTGAAGATGATGTCCTTATTAGTTGATAAGAAAGCACTGATGGACATTTTAATCTTCTTGGCTGTTCTCCAGGGAATTTTTTTGTGTGTGTCTGTGTGTTTGTGTGTTTTATTTTACAGGCTGATGTAATCTGTAAACTCAACATGACAGACAGGTAAATCTTCCACACTGTCATTCCCTCATGTGACTGCTGTTCAGGCCTGGGACATTTTCTGCACGTGGCTTCGTGGGTGTGATCTTTCCTCTCCCCCTGCCTGGCTTGCCAATGTTTTCCAGTATAGAATCTGTTGTGAATTAATTATCTCTGAAATGAATCAGAATCACATTGAGACTTTTGAAGAGCCCTGGTCACAACGTTGCTGATTGAAATGACTGATCACATTTGATCTTTGGAGGAAATAACTGGCCAGTTAACTGCCTGCCCACATCCCAGTCACATCATATACCGTCTGTCTTTTCCTTAGGAGTAGCTCCAGAGCTGGGGGCTTAATGTGTAGCTCAGTGGCAGAGCCCTGGCCTGCCATTTATGAGGCCCTGGGTTTGGTCCCTAGCACTGTAAAAGCAAACAAACAAAACCTCAGTTTTCTGTGTAGCCATTGTGGAAGGAGGTTGCCTTCCCAATAAGTGTGGAATGGGAGAGAGTGAGGTGAGAATCCTGACTCTGGAATTCCCACCAAGACTTAGAGGAAGTAGGCAGGACCTGGCCCTGGGATGGTCATCTCGATGTGAAGCCATTCTAGTCGACAGACACTGTAGTGACCTTCTGGTCAGGGTGCTTTCAGACTCTTAATCCCACTCGGAGCAGTACCTTGGGCAGCTGTATCTCAGAAAACACCAGGTCTAGAGTTCCAAAAGGACCCTACCCCATTGCAGCCAAGAAGCCTGTAATTGTGCCTTGCTCTGTGTCCCTGTGTCCATTCAGTACCTGTCTTGTGGCTTGGTGGGAAGCTGAGGAAGAGGGCTAAGTACTTAGTTCTAGATCATTCCTATGAACTGACAATGTCAGACTTCAGCTGCAGTGTAACACCTAAGACCATACCCTCAGAACCTGTTCATGGAAGTGGGCCACTGATAACAAGCTTGGTCCACAGTGCCTATCCTTCACCCTCCCCAGGCAGGACTATTGGAGCTTTTGTTGTGTTTAAAAACAAAACAAAACGAAAAAAAGTATTCCTTGTTTGTGACAAGGTCTCACTCTGTAGCCCAGGTTGCTCTGGGCTCAATATATAGCCCAGGCTGGCCCCAAACTTGAGGCAATCCTTCTGCCTTAGCCTTCCAGAAATGTTGGGATTACAGATGAGTGAGCTCCCCAGAAAGTCTGATACACAGACAACCACCTGAGTCACCTTCCTTCCCACAGGAGCCTGAAGGACAACAGAACTGGGACTTGGTGGCAGTTTGTCCTAAGTAGGCTACAGCACCTCACCAGGTTGTCCCTGCTCCTCCCCAAGTCCCTCCCTGTCCATCTTCTCATGTTTTGTTAGTGTTGCTAACTTTGAGAGAGAGAATAAGCATATTTTTAGCTTGAGTCAGTTGCTTGAAGTCCTTCAAGGACGTGGTCCTGACAATGAGTGTGGCGTCGCTGCTGGCCAGGCCCTGGGGTTCATGGTCAGAAGGACCCCTGCCAACTGAGTTTTCCCGGCAGGCACCAGTATGATGCACTGGCTTTTCTCCCAAGGCATCTGCTCTCTTTTATATTATGAAGAGTATGACTCAGACAACAAGATCCTGTGTAGTGAGCACCTGCACCCCCTTCCCTGTGCATCTCCAGCTTCTGTGTTAGCTGACCCTCTGTTCATCCTCTCTAAGCATGCCTGTGGACCCTGATCCCAGAGTTCTGGCTAAGAGGCTGCAATAACTGCAGCAAAGTACCTACCTTGGCTAGGGTTCTCACCGTGTACCTGCAACCCAGTAGGACGTTCACAACAAGAAGGGTTGTTGGCTCATAGGGCTGAAGTGTCCCAAGTGTGATGGCCCTAGCACAGCTGACCAGCTCTCCCCTCGCTGCTGTCCACTTCCCCTTCCTCATGTGGGGCACAGACAGCTCCCGTGCTCCCCGCTAAGGGTTGGTGTGCTCCCTGTTACCTGCTAAAGCTAGTCCAACCTCGTGCACTGTGCTCACACCTGGAGCCCTTGCCATAAGGATAGAAAGTGAGGGAACAGCTCTGAGCTGTGGGTGCTGGGCAGAGACCAGAGCCTGGACAGTGTACTGCATGCAGACCTGCAGAGCACAGCCCATCGTGGCCGCTCACCTTCCTTAATGTTACTGTGGGTGGTGACGGTGACTCAGGTGGGGAGTCTGCTTCTAGGTCTGGTGGCAGTGAAGGGCCTGAGGGCCTTGGCCACTTGGCTGCCGGGTGGAGCTGCCTTCCCTCATTCCTCTTCCCTACCCCCCTCCCCAACCTACCTTCTGTCTGTAGCTCTGGCTTTGAGAACACGGTCAAGGTGAAAACATGGCATCCACCCTGGGACCTTAGAGGGGCAATAGGCGCTTGCATGCACGTGGTTACTTTAAGGAAGGCAGAGTCTGGGAACAGGTCTGGGAGCTGGGTATCCTGCCGGGTCTGGTTCTCTCCTGGCTGCCTCAGACTTTCATCGGAGAACTGCTACCTCATAGATTGATAACTGGGGTAGTGCCTGACCAGCTTCATAGGCTTCCTTCCACCAGCAATACTTCTTTTGAAGGATTACTGGGCAACACCAGTCAGATGACTCCAGTCCCGCCTCCTCCTAGTGGTCACGGTCTGTGCACTGGGTTTCCTTCCCTACTGCACTTGCCATTTTCTTGTCTTTGGTTTTCTGAGACAGTCTCATAGCTCAAACTGTCCTGGAACTTGCTGTCTGCTCCCACACATGGTTTGTGATGCTTGGGATCAAACTAAGGGCCTCCAGCATTGCTTAGCTAGTACTCCAGCCAAGCCCACATTGTGCTTCCTAAGTTGACCTGGGCCCTGCTTATTCCTACACCCACCCCTCTAGCACTGACTCTGAGCTAGACAGTCAGTGGTAAAGGAAGGGCTTGGGGCCGGAGCCCCCGTGCTAAGGGGATGCTCACTGATGAGCTCCAGGGCCTGGAAACCCGGTAGGCAGGTGGCCAGTATTTGTGGCAGTGGACCATATGATCAAGTGCTGCCTGTGAGACCCAGGGACCCAGCTTCCAGTGTCAGCAGCCCAGGCTGGACCCTCCAGTGGCTGCTGTTTTTGGCAACTTCTTGGGTGTTGCAAATATGAGTGGAAGCTGGTGTTGGTCACAATTGGCACAGTTGACCTGGTGGCAAAGCAGAGGTCAAACGCAACAGTTTGTAGGACATTCTGGCTGAGAAAGCCGGAAAGTGTGTGCTGGGGTAGGCAGGGTTCTGGGCAGCGTTGGCCAGAGCAGTGCAGCACGGCTGTAGGCAGGGGTCAGTAGCACACAAAGCACACCCTCCCTCTTGGCCCTTCAGCTGCCATCTTGGCATGTGCACCCAGCACCATGCTTTACAGAATCTGCTTGCTTCTCTCCTTGCAGTTTTGCATTTGGCTCCCTGATATCTGCGGTTGACCCAGTAGCCACTATCGCAATTTTCAATGCACTGCACGTGGACCCCGTGCTCAACATGCTGGTGTTTGGAGAAAGCATTCTCAACGATGCAGTCTCCATTGTCCTAACCAAGTAAGTAGGAGAGAGTGGAAGATCCCATCGATGCCAGTACAGAGGTTGGTCCCATGTGATCAACTCTCTGCTGCCTCTGCATCTAGGCACTCTGACAAGGGTCTGCCACAGGACTGTGTCACAGCCAGGCTGCTGCAGGGAGCTGTGTCTGTGTTTCTAAGCTCTGAAGGGCTTCTCAGTTTACATTCCCAGGTCCCACCTCCCAGCCTCTTGTGCAGTGGCGTCTGTAGGGTGCTCCCTTCATGATCAGTGGCAGCCAAGTGAGGGATTAGTGTTTGGACAGCATTGCTGCAGTAGTGAATGCAGTATGGCCAGTGTTGAGGGATTGCTCACCCTGTTCGAGGTGGCAGTGGTGTATCTAGCTCCAGAGAGACAGACAGTTTATGGAGGGCAGAAGAACTAGAGTTACAGATATTTGTAAGCTGCAGTGCAGATACTGAGAATCAAATCAGGGTCCTCTAAAATAACAGTAAGAACTGTTAACTGCTGAGCCATCTGTCCAGTTCCGCCCAGCTATAAGTCTCACCCAAGCAGGCCTCAGATTCACTATGTAGCTAAAGATGACTGTGAGCTCCTATTCCTCTGCATCCACCTCACAGGTGCTGGGGTAAAAGTACTGCTCCACCTCATGAGGCTTAAAACTATGAGTCTTTTTATGTTGACTGGGGTTGCTGCCTGTGATGGGATCTGAGGTGCTACAGGTGGATAATAAACCTCAAGCTGCAGTGCAGAGCACAGGTTTTCCTGTTGACCCCGCCCGGCTGTGTGACTCTGGGCTGGCTCCTGTCTCTCTCTGACCTCCCCAACAGATTATGTCCCACAGTTACAACTGAACTGAAGGACCGACTAGGTGGATAACTGCAGCGCCATTTTTGAGGCTGCCTCCCACCTCTGGCCCTTCACTGTGCTTACGAGGTCACCTCCTTACTGACTGCTGCAGGCAGAGCTTACCAAGCAATACTCAAGTGCAAGAAATCCTCCTTCAACATTAAAACGGAATCAAACTTCAGAATGGTTCTTATTCTAAGGCTAATACATATTCTTCACATAAAAGATAGAAACTGTTGGCACACACCTATAATCCTTGAAGTGGAGGTAAGAGGGTCAAGAGTTCACTGAGTTTGAGGCCAGCCTGGTTTACAGAGCAAGTTCCAGGACAGCCAGGGCTACACAAGAAACCCTGTCTGGACAAAATAAATAAATAAATAAAAATTGTCTAAAGTAACATGATTTGCTGGGTATCAGTTTACTGACATGCTCACCCACTGCCCTCTCACTGGCTTTCTCATGCCCTCTCGATAGAAATCCCTGCAGGGTTAGTTAGGAAAAGTCATTGAGGCATTATTTAGAACATAGGCGGCAGCTGGTTTTCTTCTTCTGTAAGCTATTTCCTGAAAGTTTAACTTAGTTGGTACAGTGCTTGTCCAACATGTACACAGCTGTGGATTCAATCCAGAGCACCACATACAACTGTGCATGGCACTACATACTGTAATCCACATACAACTGTGCATGGCACCACATACCTGTAATCCACATACAACTGTGCATGGCAGCACACTCCTGTAATCCCAGCACTTAGGGAATAGATGCCGGAGGGTCAAAGTTAAGGGCCATCCTCTACTACATAAGGAGTTTGAGGCTAGCTTGGGCTACATGATTCCCTGTGACCAAATACATTCTTTTCTGAAAGCTTCTTAGCTCTAGGTTTTGCCTGCATCTCATCTCCTGGTGCACACTAAGCATTGTGATAAGGAGGTGCCTGCTTGGAGGTGATGGCATGAGCTATTTTTATGGTTAGAAGCAGAACTCAATTGCTTTGCCTTTTTTTCCTTGAAAAAAATCTGTCAGTAGGAAAATGTCACTTTCCTCAGGTCTCAGCCACACTACTGCCAAGTTGAAGAGATATTTTTGAAACAAATGGGGGAAAATGTCATTACACATCTTACTGGAAGAGTGGCTTCGAAGGCCACCCACAACACTTCCTGCAGGTGGCTCTGCAATATGTGTGTGTAGATTGGGCAACCTTTCCTATTGTCATGGCCACTTCCCTCACAGTCAGGGTTGTCCACGTCCTGCCTGTGCTGACAGGCGGGCCAGAGAGAAATGACATGCAAGAGAGGCAGGAACCCCATGGAGGGTTCCAGAAAGGCTGTCTTATGCTCCAGACCAGTGAGCATTTTCAGACAGAAGCAGGAAGAAGGGGAATAGAAGGCCTGTCCCCTTTTCAGTGGACTCTGAACTACCAAAACCCAGCTGCTGCCTGTCCTGAGTTCTGAGGGGATGCCTGTCAACAGTTTTTTCCCAGAGTGGTCAGGCATCTTGCCTACTGTGCAAAGGATATATGCAAATGAAGGGCCTCCTTTTGAATGTTGTCAGAAAGCAAAGCCCTTCTGATTCTTCTTTAATTCCTGGGGGTTTTGTTTATTTGTTTGGTTTTGGTTTTCCGGGACAGGGTTTCTCTGTGGCTTTGGAGCCTGTCCTGGAACTAGCTCTTGTAAACCAGGCTGAGATCTGCCTGCCTCTGCCTCCCGAGTGCTGGGATTAAAGGTGTGCACCACCACCCGGCTTATTCCTGGGTTATTTTTTACTTTATTTACTTAGTAGTTTGGTGATTTGTTGTTATTGTTGTTTTTGAGACATGTCTCCTGTAACCCAGGCTCCTCTTGAACTCCTGCTTTTTCTGCTTCAACCTCCCAGTTGCTTGTTTCTGGCTTTAATTTGCTACGGTCACAGTTTGTTCTTATGTCAATTGTTGGGGAGGAAACCCTGTCTTGTGCCCTAAGGGTGTAAGTCTGCTTTAATTTCTTTGCTGTCACAAGCCACCTGCTGGTCCTGGGCTATGACAACCAGTTATTCTGTGGAACTCCACTCCCTGCTCTAGTAAACAGGCAGCAGGATCAGTATGTTCCAACTGGAAATAAAGAGCGCTGGCTGCACGGTGAGATTTGAAATGGGGTGTGTTCATGAGGTATGCCGACATGGATCCCTAGGGGGATAAGTAGTTTATTGAGAAAGCTATTAACACCATGGACAGAGGTAAGCACATGATGGGGGCTCCAAGGACATTTCAGACTCTAGCATCAGAGATGCCATAGCAGGGTCTGGAGGAGTCAATCCATGGGCAGAAGTGGGAGTTTATTTTTACACTGTTCTGAGGATGGGGTTTCAATCACAAGCCTGCACGGAGGCGCTGATTCCCAGCCAGGAGGCAGACGAAGTGGGAGCACCTTGTGTGGCCACCAATACCCTTTAATGTCAACTCACTCCAGTAACAGGCCATGGCTCAGGGAAGTCTGTTAGCTAGGGACTCCCAGTGCCTCAGTGGGGTGTCTGTAGGTGACTGAGGGGAGAAGCCACTGCCGCATGTCCAGAGCAGCAGCTGGATGCTCCCATTGCATTCTTACACAGCGTGTGGGTGTAGTCCACTGGGGATTTGGTCAGCCAAATCAGCTTCCGGTGAGGCTGCTTTTGCTCCCACATTCCCCAGTTGATCTGCTGGGAGTGAAGGAGAGCTCAGTCAGGGAACTGGTGTGAAGAGAACTCTTTAGTTAATACTTGTATTTATTTTGTGGCTTTGTGTGCACCTGTAAGCACATAGTCCTAATTTGAATCTCAGAACACAGCCTTCAGCAGTTGACCCTCAGGTTTTGCTGTAGGCACCTCTGTCTTCTGGGCCATCTTGCTGGCCTCTGAGGGCAGACTGTTTTATTTGTGAGACCTCTCAGAACTGTTTTATTATGCCACCAGGGGTCGGAGGTCACTTGGCCAAGCTATCTCTTCACCACAGGTCCTTCTTTCAGGTGGAATCCCAGTTAGTGAAGGTGAACGGTCCTTAGTTCTGTAGCCTGACTCCACAGACATGTATGCATGTCTCTGATAGGCTGGGCTATGATTTGGCTCAGGTCACTCAGAACAGGATGGAGAGAATGACACTTGTCACCACACACTCTGAAGGAGGAGCTGGCTCATAGGGACCTGAGAATCAGGAAAGTTGTCTGAGGGGAGGAGAGGACTGTCCTAACGGACAAGCAAGGGAATTAGCAGAGCCAGGGACAGTGAAGAATGACATGCAGAGAAACACGAGTATCCTTGTGGGCCACCACAGAGAGGAAAGAAACTGGGCAGAGATGCCACGATGAAGCTTTGGAGCAGCTGTTCCTTGGCAAATGTATGTTAAGGGGTCACTTAGCAGCTGACGCAGGCCAGTCTGGGTGGAAGACAAACATGGGCCTTAGGGGTGGAGGTGTGGCTGAGAGTAAATGGATCCAGGACAGAGGGTGTGATGTTATCAAAAACAGCTATTAATGGTACTCTTCCCTTTGGGGACAAAGCAGCTTTTGACTGGCTTCCTATACCTGCCTTGCTGTTACAGTGGAAGGGAGGACCTTCAAGCTCATCTCAGGGCTCCCTACCGCCTCCTCTTAGCCCAAAGCCGTCTGGGGTTTTGTGGTAGAATTCCTATACTCAGGTGAGGCCTTCAGGGCCTCCCGTCATCCATGAGCCCTGCACTGGCTGCTGCTCTCTTACACTCCCCTCCCCAAGCCTGTATCCTCCATGGGCTTGAATGTTCCCACTCACGATCCCTGCCCTAGCACTGTCCCCTCCTCGGCCTGAGAGCCCCCGCTGCTAAGTGGAAACCCAGCCAGCCTGTGTTGCCTGGAGAGCCTTCTTCAAATACCTCTACCCCAGTCTGAGTTAGATGCCCACCCTGTTCACAGCCGTTGGCCCTTCCCCTTTATTACCCGGGGCCGCTCCTGAGGACATTAACTTTGCCCTCACTTCTGATCTCCAGAAGCCACCTCAGTGCCTGAACAAATAGGTGACCACAGAAACCATTCAGGGTGATGGACTAAATGGCGGGAAGAAGGGGACTCTGGATGGAGCAATGAGTTATGCTCAGAGCTGATTCTAGGACTCAGTCTATAGCACTTTAACTTTCTATTTTCTCCTTTCCCAGTACGGCTGAAGGTCTAACAAGAAAGCATATGTCGGATGTCAGTGGGTGGCAAACGTTCTCACAGGCCCTCAGCTACTTCCTCAAAATGTTCTTTGGCTCTGCAGCACTGGGCACGCTGACTGGCTTGATCTCTGCATTGATATCCTTTAACATGGGAGCAGGAGGTAGAGGCATCCACTCTCACTGTTTTCTCCTCAAGGGCCCAATTTTAATCTCAAGTTCTGATTAATGGAAAGTTTTTTATTAAGCTATGGTTTGAGAAACGTTCTAAACTCAAGGACTCTTAAATTCAACCTCTGAGGTGTCAGAGGATACTTTCTCCTCTAGACAGCAGGGTCCCCTCAGCTGGCCTTGAGCTTTGTGTCCTGCTGAAATGCCAGTTTCGTCGTTTGATTCTTTTTTTTTTTTTTTTTTTTTTTTTTTTTTTTGGAGACAGGATCTCTACACAGCCCTAGCTGTCCTGGAATTCAGTATTCGTATGTGTGACCAGGCTATCCTTGAACTCACAGAGATCCAGCTGCCTCTGTCTCCCAAGAGCTGGGATTAAAGGCATGTGCTACCACTCCTGGCAGGGATACAGTTTTCAAAGTCACGCTGTTGGGTGGCAGATTTGACCTGACATCCTGCTGCTGGTGCTCTGGGTGAGAGCCACAAACAGAAGATGTCATTCTCACACCAGAAAACTGGCAATTTTCTTAGACACTGTAGGTTGCGTGTGGATTTGTTTGGTTTTTGTTTTGTTTTGTTAAGATTGATTTGTAGCCAGGTTGTGGTGGTGCATGTCTTTAATCCCAGCACTTGGGAGGCAGAGGCAGGAGGATCTCTGAGTTCAAGGCCAACCTGATTTACAGAGCAGGTCCCAAGACAACCAGAGCTATGTAGAAAGACCCTATCTCAAAAAAAGAGAGGAAGGAGGGAAAGAGATAGAGAGAGAGAGTGGTTGTAGGTGCTAGGAACTGAAGTCAGTGGGGCGGCTCTTACCCTCAGCCATCTGTAGCCCACAAGTGTGGAGTGCTGGCAGTCCCTCCCAGGGTGAGGGTTTATCTGGAAGGACAGCAAGGGCTTTCAGGAAGTGCCACCCACATGGTTTGCACCGTGAACTGCGTACCAGCTGAGGCCTGTTGGGCAGAGAAGGAGGTTCTACAGACCTTTACTGCTGGTGACAATTTATCATACAGAAATAGGACAGGCTCCAGAGTAGCTCTGCAGTTGACCGGCCCATGTCCCCATAACAGCCACATGGCCCTCCAGGAGCAGTTTGTCTCTCAGCTAACTGCAACGCTCTTGCTGGTTCTGAGTGTGTTTCCCACCACCCTGGAGATGTTCTGGTCTGTCCCTCTGTCCAGAGGCTGATTGAGTTGGTTGACAGCTCTCAATAAGCAGAGTAAGGATGACACTATCCTCCAGACTTGTAGCTCAGCAGTTAGAGCACTTACTGCTCCTACACGGGATCCACGTCCAGTTCCTAGCACCCATATGACAGCTCTCAACAACCTGAAACTCCAGTTCCAGGGGATCAAACGTCCTCTTCTGGCCTCTTTGGGCACTGTACATTCATGGTGCACAGACATACAGGCAAAACACTCATGCATATAAAATGTAAAAATTAAAAAGAAAAAAGCATGCCAGAGATAGTGATGCATGCCTGTAATCCTAGCATGCATTTGGGAGACTGAGGCAGAAGGGTTCCCACAAGTTTGATGCCAACAGGGTTACATAGCAAGATCCTGTCTGAAAGAGAGGCAGGAGGAGGAAGAGGGCAAAGAGAAGAAAACTAGGAAAGAGGCAGTGAACGTGGCTGCCTTCAAGGAGCACATCTGTAATGAGCAAGTCCATGGGAACTCGGCTTCAGTCAGGGCATGGGAACAAGGGCCCTCTGTTCCCAGGAGCATGCGTGTGGTACTCTGCAGGGACAGGAAAGGCGGGCCTTTCAGTGGGGGGCAAGGAGTCCCTGGAGAGCAGGCAGTTGAGTCAGTGTTTGTGATGTCATGTCAGATTTCTCATTTCTACAGAGAAAAAAATCTGTAGTGAGAAATTCCCCCCTGCAGCTGTGCCAGGATCAGCATCTTCTGTACTGCTGTCTGCTTTCCGTGTCTGGTCTTGTCACACGTCCATCTAGTGCCCTTCTCCTTCCTTGACACCTGTGGCACGTGCTGAAACACATTGACCTGAGGAAAACGCCTTCCCTGGAGTTTGGCATGATGATCATTTTCGCTTACCTGCCATATGGGCTGGCAGAGGGAATCTCACTCTCAGGTAAGGGACAGTAACCAGCACACTGTGACTGTGACTAAAGACAGTAACCAAGCTATGACCTGTTGGCAGAGACAAAGGTGCTGTGATGGCCCTTGTTTTACCTGAGGTTGGAGGAGCAGTGTGCTTAGGGGGGAGGGGGCTGGTGTACAAGCAGAAGGGTCAGGAGTTCAAGGTCATCGTCTACCACATAGCATGTTCAAAGTTAGCCTGGGCTCAGTGAGACCCTGCCTCAGAAACAAAATCAAGCTCGTGAGATGGTTCAACAAGTGAAGGAATTGCCACCAAAGCCAATGACTTTAATTTGGTCCCCAGAATTTCCACAATGGGAGGTGGGGAACTAACTCCAGTATCTGTCCTCTGCTCCCCGAATGTGCACACAGGCACCCACACAAAGGACGGACAAAGAAGCTAGATAAATGTATTCCTTTTTTAAAAGGCAGGGTTGGGGGCTGGAGAGATGGCTTAGAGGTTAAGAGCACTGATTGCTTTTCCAGAGGTCCTGAGTTCAATTCCCAGCAACAACATAGAGGCTCACAACCATCGATAATGAGATCTGGTGCCCTCTTCTGCCTGCAGATACACCTTCAGACAGAATGCTGTATACATAACAAATAAGTAAATCTTAGAAAAAAAAAATGTCAGGGGCTGGAGAGATGGCTCAGCTGATAAAATGCTCACTGTGAAAATGTGAGGGTGTGAGTTTGGATCCACATCGCTAGGCATAGCAGCGTGCATGCATCTATAACACCCACACTGATGAGCTGAGACATGAGGGTTGTTAGAGTTTGCTTGCCAGCCAGTCTAGCAAAATTGACGAGCTCTAGGTTCAATGAGAAACCCTTTCTTAAAGATGAGATCAATAGAAGAAGACACCTGAGGTCAAACTCTAACCTCCAAATGCACATCCATACAAACATGCATGCAGGTGCCCATATGGAGCGTGCATATACAGCCTACACAGCACAAAAGCAAAACAAAATATCTGCTGCTGTCACAGCCGGAATTAGAGCAGTGATGTCCTGATTTCTGAAATGAGACTCAGAACCTGCCTAACCTCCCTCCAGCAAGTTTCTCATGAAACCATATACTGCAACAAAATGCTGCTCCATGGCCATAAGTCAGTGGGGCTTCTCAAGCATAGTAAAATGAATTACCTGTTTTGATTTTTGAAGTGGGAATTTAGCCCAGGCTAGCTTTGAACTAGAAATCTTCCTGCCTCAGCCTCCTTAGTAGCTGAGTTGATAGATGTGTGCTCCCCACTGGTGGGCACCCAATTGACTCCTTACTCAAGGTTGAGGTTGTGAGATTCAAATACTGGCTCCCTGCCCCCCAGGGGAGAAGGTACATACTTCCCAGCTGTAGGAGGACACTGAGCTGTCCACTGAGCACTGGTTCCTACAGCCTTCCATGCTGTGGGCTCAGTCAGCATCCCTTATCTGTCAGCTACCTGCCCCAAGTTTAGAGGGAAGTGTTTAGTACCAAATAAACACACAGAGGATGATATTAATTATAAACTGTTTGGCTGATGGCTCAGGCTTCTTATTGACTAACTCTGTCTTAATTATGAACCCATTTCTATTCATCTGTGTATCTCCACATGGTCTTGGCTTACCAGTGCTGTCCAGATCTCTTGCTTCCTCGGCAGCTACATGGTATCTCTTTGACTCCACCTACTACCTTTCTCTATCCCTGGTTAAATCCTGCCTGTCTATTGGCTGAAACAGCTTTATTCATCAACCAGTAAGAAACATAGTCACAGCATACAGAAGGATATTCCCCATCACCCAAGTGGTATAGACCCTGTGCCCGCTATCTGTCAAGTTGTAACATCACCAGCCTTACACGTCTAGAGCAAGCCCCATGCCTTGTTCCCAGGTGCAGGTACAGCTGAATGGGGGGAGGGCTGTCCTGACACCAGGACTCGAGCCTTCCGTAAGGGCTGTGTACAGAGACCTGTTGAGGAAGAGACATACCATACAGGCCAGGCTGAGCTCTGCTGTGGGAAGGCTTCTCCTTTAAACTGCAATTGGATCGACACCCTACAATAAACAGCAATCCATGTATGGAGCTCTGTTGTGTTTTGGCAGATGTGTGCAGTCACAAGGCCCTGGTCAGATCCCTGTGTCTTCTGCGGTCACCATGACCTGCACTGTTAATAGTTCTTTCCAAGATGTCACTAGATGAAATTATGGGACATGTAGTCATTGGTACCTGACTCTGTCCGCAGTGGTGGTGGTGGGAAGCACTACCACATCACCATCCTCCTTCAAAGGACGATCAGGCTTTTCCTCTTTTGGTCTGTGAGCGTTCACAAATGTTTTCAATTATGTGGTGTGAATACACCAGTTCTGCCAGGTGGTGGCAGCACACACTTTTAGTCACAGCAGAGGCAGAGGCAGGCAGCCTGGTCTACAGAGCAAGTTCCAGGAAAGCCAGGACTACACAGAGAACCCATTGCAAAAAAGAAAAAAAAAAAAAAAAAAAAAAAACAAAAAATTTAAAAAAACCACGAAAACCGTTCTTTGTGTTTTTCCAGCATATCATAAAATTTTAAGTATTTTTTTGTAGCTAATTCATGTATTTTTCCAAAAGTGAGCCTTAGTGGTACCATCCCCGACCTCTGATTCTTTGGGCTTGTACAGGTGATGATTCCATTGGGCAAAGCCGTATAAGTGTCAAGTGGTGGCCTGTGTGTGGTGAGGCCTCATGGGACTCCTGAGCTGTCCCTTGAACTCTCCAATAGCCCCAGAACTGGCCAATGCCATACTCCCCCTCCACCCAGGGTGACGTGTGTGCTTCTGGGCCATTTCCAGCATTAGCAGTCAGGTGTACAAGTGAAAACTGTTGATCAAACTCTGCATCCATGTGTTTATCCACACAGACAAATGGTAAATGTCTGTGTCAGTCACTCTCATTACAAGTTTAGAAGTTGCTCATGCCTTTAATCCCAGCACTTGAGAGGCAGAGGCAGATGGATCTTTGAGATCGAGGTCAGCCTGATCTACAAAGTGAGTTCCAGGACAGCAAGGACTAAACAGAGAAACCCTGTCTTGAAAAAGTAAAACAAAGATAAGAAAAGAGTCCGTCATCTCAGAAGTGAAGGTGGGCCTGCCTAGCATAGCTGCAGCAGCCTAATGAAGAGCTGTATGTTCATCCTGGTGGTCACTGCCCTGTACTCTCCCACAACAAGTATTCTTGGTGTTCTCGCCCCCTGGTCCAGTGCATCATAGCCCCCTGCCGCCCTTTGCTTAGACTGCCCCCTGCTGGAGCTGAGCAGCATTGCCCAGGGACAGACCCGGGTATTTCCACACAGGCTGCCTGCCACCCTGAGCCTTGCTTTCTACCAACCAATCACAGCAGCCTGTCTCTGTAGGATGGCTGGAATGATGTTCAGCTGATGATGGCATCGTAACTTGGTGTCCTTTTGGGTTATATCACATGAAAAGCATGTCGATGGCCCTTGTCTAAGGCAGCCCAGTGAGCCCTGAACCTAGGAGGACCAAAGAGCTTGGGAGCACTCCCTGTTATGCCTCCCTCCTCGGCTAAAGGTGCTTCTTGGTGCTGGTTGCTGCTGCAGTGCTGGACATCAGGCCCAGGGCTTCAAAAGTGCTGAACACAACTTTCAAAGCTGTACCCCTGCCTGCTGTCACTTTTTTGTAAATTTGTATTTATTTATTTTTAGATTTATCTTTTGCTTGTTTGTTCTGTTTTTTTTATAACAGGGTCTTTCCATTGTGTAGCAGCTCTGACTGTCCTGAAACATCTGCCTCTGTCTCCCAAGTGCTGGGATTAGAGGTGCTTACCACCACGTCTGCATAGATTTTATTTTTTGTGTATGATTGTTCACCACCCAGATAAGAATCTGGGAGTTGTGGGCGATTGTTAGCTACCATGTGGATGCTGGACTCAAACCCAGGTCCTTTGCAAAAGCAACAAATACTCTTAACCACTGAGCCAGCCACCTTGCCAGCCTTCTGGTATACCACCTTTGATGGTTGCGGTGGTGCTGCAGGATTAGAGAGGGTCAGCTATCCTGGAGACTACCTTCAGGGACGTGAGGAAACTAGGGAAGCTGGAGAGTGCTGGGGGCTCTGGTACAGCTCTGGGAGCCCACTGTGTACTCAGGAAGCAAGTGAGCTGGCCCTGCCCTCCCCGTCCATCTGCTCTGGAGTATCTCCTTATCCCCTTTTCCAAGCAAAACGAGAGCAGGAAGCAACAGGCTACTTACTGTTGAAGATAGAATATTCCAATCCTTCTGTCATGCGTGCAGCAGAGGCCTGCAGGGATGTCGAAGAGCAGGTGGCCTTTTTTGCAGAGCCTAGTATGTGACACAGCTATGTGATCTTTCCTGTACAAGTGAAGTTAACCTGGTTAACTGTTTCTCCAAAATTGTAGAAGTGAATTAAGATTTGGCTTATCAAGTTAGACTTGCAGTTTCTGTATGTTGATACCTCGTTAGGTGGCTTTAAAAAAAAAAAAAAAACCTCAGCTTCCTTCTGTTGAGATGGGGCTCTGTTAAAAAGAACGTGTGTGGTGAGGGGAGCAGCTGCCAGGTACTAATGGGGGAGCATGGACAACTGTGCCCTGGAAGAAACAGTATTTGGTGACTATAGGGAAATTACAAGAGTATCTTTTTTTATGATTTGTTTATTCTTACTTATGTTCATTGGTGTTTTACCTGCATATTCATCTGTGTGAGAGTCCCAGATGTAACTCCAGTCCCTGGAACTAGAGTTACAGACAGTTGTGAGCTGCTATGTGGGTGCTGGGAATTGAACCCAGGTCCTCTGGAAGAACAGCCAGTGCTCTTAACCACTGAGCCATCTCTCTAGCTCTCAACCAACAGAGAGCATCTTAAAGGTCCATGAGACTGCCCTACTCTTTACATCCAGGTTCTTGGGCTCTTTACCTGTGGATGACAGTGACAGCTTCTCGCCTCAGCCTTTAAACTAAGGGCCAGTATACAGTGACAGCTTACAGCTGTAGAGCCTGGTACTGTGTGTTATGAGTCTTTGTCCCACCAGCCAGCTCCTAAATCATGACAAGGAGACTTATTAATTATGAAAGTTCAACTGATAGCTTAGGCTTGTTTCTAACTAGCTCTTACAACTTAAATTAACCCGTTCCAGCAGTCTACGTGCTGCCCTGAGGCTCATTTGCCTTACCTATGTATCGCCCATCTTGCTTCCCTACTTCTTCCATGTCTGGCTGGCAACTCTGTCTTCTTCCCAGCATCTCCTTTGCTCCCAAAATCCTGCCTAGCTATTGGCCGTTTAGCTTTTTATTAAATCGATTACAGTGACATATCGTCACACACACAGTGTAAAGGAATATTCCACAGTTGTGGTGTTCAGTTCACACAGCTCATCTTTCACTCACCCCTGACTTGTGGGAGCAGGGACTGCATCAGTGAGGGAGCTATAGCCCAGAGATAGGGAGCCACTTGGCCACTGTCACCAGCTGGCAGAGATAGGAGGGGCCCTGCGCATTTCTCTGTAGCTTCTGGAAGGCCCCAGGATTGTATATCTGCACTTCCTATTCTCTCCCGTGCCCCTGTCTCTCCCCACATCTTCTTCCACGCTTTCTTTCTCATTTTGAGGCAGTTTCATAGCCCAGGCTGCCCTCAAACTTAGTGTTCAGTCAGTGATGACCTTGCACTCCTGATCTGCTGTCAGCTTCCCACATGGCGGGGTTGCTGGTGTGTGCCACCATATCTGGGTCATGTGCTCCTGGGGATGGAATCCAGGCTTCTTTGACAACTAAAGCTGCAGCCCAGTCTCTTTGTTTTCTCTCCTTTTTATGTGCCTGGGTGTTGAGACTACTTGCATACCTGGTGCTCATGGTAGCTAGAAGAGGGTTTAGGGTCCTCTGGAACTGGAGTTACACATAGTTGTACGCTGCCTTGTAGGTACTGGCATCCAAATGTGGGTCCTCTGAAAGAGCAACCACTGCTCCTTGCCTTTGAGTCATCTTTCCAGCCTCTTCCATTTTCTTAAACTGCTAATATTTGGGGCTCTGGAATTTAGGAAGTGTGGTCTGATTTGCATATGTGTCGCTGTGCCCTCTCACATCTGCCTTCTCTCTGCAGGCATCATGGCTATCCTGTTTTCTGGTATCGTGATGTCACACTACACACACCATAACCTCTCCCCAGTCACCCAGATCCTCATGCAGCAGACCCTCCGTACTGTGGCCTTCCTGTGTGGTAAGTCCCACCTTTGAGTACCCACACAAACTGGGATTTCTGCCCTAGTGGTGTATAGGCTAGGGTTTTTCTTGGCATCATGGCCCAGAATCCTTCCAGGCCCAAGAAAGTACCATACTCCTACCTTCTGAGCTGGCCTCTGTGGTTTGGGATTGCATAAAAGATGTGCAATACTTCAGAAGTGGGCGTTTGGTGCCTGCAGTTTATGGCCAAAGATAGAAGTACTGCTGAACATTCCAGATGTTAATGTGGAAATCTCCACAGATGTTCCTTGGAAATGATGCTGAGGATGCTTAGACGACCCCACCCCCTGGTGGGATCTCAGGCTCAAGTTTTAACTTTCATCTCGGGGCACACTGTGAGTTTTTCTAAGTGAGGGTGTCCTAGCTCTGGGGGAAACTCTAGAGCTGTGTTCCCCTGGAATGAATATGAAGACTTTCTACTAAGCAGTGACAGTTCCTCCCTTTCCATTTACCATGTACCCACTCTTGTTCATACCTGCAGTAAAGGTGGAGCCTTTAGCCATCCCTCTAAACTGTATGTGCACATACACGCACATATATACTCTTATCCTGGGTCTAGGCTTTAGCTGCAACCTTAGCAACTGGTGTTAAGGGACCCTGTTTCACTTTGGAGCCTGGATAGCAGGGCTATCTGTGCAAGGTAGGGAGGGACAGGGTGAGGAGAAACCAGATAGCCCATTGCCAAGGACCAAGCTAGAAAACAGGTGGCCTCTAGTGCCCGGTGGCCATTTGATTCACAGCTCTTACCAGAAAAGCCTTGGCCAAAGGCTCAGACCTGGCCCTCATAGGGTGGAGCATAGAACATCGGATTCTGTTCTGTGCCCTGGACCGGCTCTAGTTAGCATTCAGTTCTGGGGCTACACAGTATCCATTGCAATAATTTTCCAGAAAATAAGATGGCTGTTGGTGTGGCCTCAAAGATGCTTTCTTAAATTACTACTGAATTGTTAGAAAGGAACTGAGACAAACAACCCATTCTTTGGTTTCTTTCAGAAACATGTGTGTTCGCATTTCTTGGCCTGTCCATTTTTAGTTTCCCTCACAAGTTTGAAATTTCCTTTGTCATCTGGTGCATAGTAAGTATTTTTCTTGTTTTTTTATTGAATGCTTATTTTTAGAATAGCAACTACATGGTCTGGAATCATTTATGTAACTATTACCAGTTCAGGGTCAACAGCTACAGAGACATGCTTCTGTTGAAAATTTCTTTTGTTTAAAAGATCCCGGGCACAAGGATTTGGACATTTTACATTTTTGGTGTCCTTGAATGATGCAGTCACCTTTAGTTTTAGCCAGAGCATGCCAGTGGGTCCTATAACCCCAACACTTGGGAGAGGCAGGAGAATCAAGAGTTTAAGCCAGCTGGGTATGAGCTCACGCCTTTAATCTCAGCACTTGGGAGGCAGAGACAGTTGGATCTCTGTGAGTTTAAGGCCACCCTGGACTATGTAGCAAGTTCCAAACCAACCAGGGCTACACAGTGAGACCCTGTCTCAAAAAAAGACAATAAAGTTTTTTAAATTATTTATTTATTTTATTTTATGTGTTTTGCCTGTATGTATGTCTGTGTGAGGGCATCAGATCCCCTGGAACTGGGGTTATAAACAGTTGTGAGCTGTCATGTGGGTGCTGGGAATTGAACCCAGGTCCTTTGGAAGAGCAGCCAGTGTAGTTAACCACTGGGCAATCTCTCCAGGCCCCAATAAAAAGTTTTAAGGGCAGTTTTGACTACATGGGAAGTTCAAGAATAGCCTAGGCTTGCACAACAGAATCCTGCCTCAAAAAAAAAAAGAAGAAGAAGAAGAAATGTGATCACCTGCAAGAGATCCCGATTCTCTTGGGTCCTTTGGAGTCCTTTCCCCACGCACCATGTGAGCTCCATTTAACGTGGCTGCCTGCCTATGTCAGTTCTGTCCTGTGAGCACAGGTCTCAGAGGGGAGGCCTTGGAAGTTTGACATTTGTACTGGTTTTTGAGTTGCTGGGGTCTCACCCGGGGCCTTGTGCAGATGCTTTGTCCCCAACCACTCCTGCACCCCTTGGAGTTGGTTAAAGTGGGAAGCCTTTTGGAGGCTTTACCCTACAGCAGGCCCAGGCCATGAGCTACCTTTGTCCTCCCAGGTAGGCCTCACTCAGCCCGCCCTCCTTGCTCTGAGGAGCCAAACCCCAGAGCAGAGGATCTGTCTGTGGTCCCCTCTCCCTCACAGTGCCACAGTGGGGAAGATTAGCATAAACCCACCCCATTATGAAGTCCTGGTTGTCTCTAGGCCCCACTGGGAGTTGGGTAGAACTGCCTTTGTTCGAGTCTCTTAGCATCTGAGACAAAAGGCCAGGCCAGAGAGCTTCCCGGGCAGAGCCGGGGCAACAGTGCCTGCGTGCCCACCTCTGCTGTGCTGTTGGGATGTCTCTCTGGCTGAGGGCAGGGCTGCCTTAGACAGGTCTGTTACACTGGTGTTAGCCTGAAGACGCGGTGGATTCCACCTACACTGAGTTTATTGGTATCAACAGGTGCTGGTACTGTTCGGCAGAGCCGTCAACATCTTCCCTCTGTCCTACCTGCTGAACTTCTTCCGTGATCACAAAATCACCCCCAAGATGATGTTTATCATGTGGTTCAGTGGTGAGTGGCAGCCAGAGAGGGTGGGCCTAAGCCTGGGCTTGTGTGCATGGGAAGCCAGGCTCCAACAGGTACTACCAGGTGGCACCCTCATCACAGCATCAACCATGAAGTGGGTGGCCCTTTTCTGTCCCTGGGATCAGGACACTCAGGTTCCGGGAGGGCAAAGGTCATGCCTAGCATCCAGGGTCCCTTGGAGGCAAAGCAAGGACTTGTCCAGCTCCATACACGCCCTTGGTGGACCAACGTAGAGTGGTGTGTGGGATGCTGCTAAAGATAGGGAGTCAACCCAGGACCTGCTCATACCTGCAGGTTCTCTCTCCTTCCACTGCAGTCCTCAGCAGAATCTGAGCATTGCGGCTGCCTGTCAGTCACACCTCTCTACTTCCTCAAGGCTGGAATGAGCTTGTCAATCTTCAGCTCTAAAGAACCAGCCCTTTAGGACCTTTAACTCTCCATACTCTTCCTAGTTAATTGTCACTAGTCAGGTCTGGTGGCACAGCCTTATCCCAGCAGAGGCAGGCAGATCTCTGTGAGTTCCAGGCCAGCCAGGGCTACAGCGTGAGATCATCTCAGAACATAAATAAATAAATGAATATAATTGAATATTATTTCTATGTGGGCTGAAGTGCTCCATAATGTTCACTACAATTTGCCTTATAATTCTTTTTCTTCAAAAGTGCCTTATTGTAAAAATTGTGAGCTAAGCACACTGGTACCTAACTGTAATGCCAGCTACTGGGAACAGGGGAGGATTCCTAGCTTGAGTCCAACCTGGACTCTGTCTCACATAAACATGTAGAGGTCTGGCTGAGAAACTTGCAGTGGCGTCTAGGTTTGACCTTGCAGCCATCCTCCTTACCTCAGCCCTGCACTACAGGAATTACCGTTTAAACAGTCAGGGTCTCCTCCCAGTAGAGACCAGTGCTACTCCCCCAGCTCCCCCAGCCCCTCACCCTATCCTCATTTCTCCACTTCTGCTCCCTTCTGCTATGGTGGCCTTGGCCCTGATCAACTCACAGTGGCTTCTGCAGCATCAGCCCTAACCTAGTGTATCTGCTGGGCTTCAGGCTCCCTCTTCCCACTACTGTTGCATATATCAAAGACACCTTCCCTGGGGTTTCCCAGCCTCCCACCCAGAGCCTCCCACTTTGACCCCAGACAATGGCATCCTGGATCCTGACCCCACCTCCTGAACCTGTGTTCTGACAGTACTGGCCTTCGTGATCTGGCCTTTCCATCCATCCAGCTCTCCAAACCAACCCTTCCTCGTTTCTGGGGGTCATGGACCACAGCAAGTTCTTGAGCCAGAGCCCACTGCCTACCTACTGCTTGGCTTGCCCTGCCTTCCGTGGGAAACAGAGTGGTGGGTTAGTACATATGGCTCCCTCCACTGGCACTCCTAGCCTTCTGCCCACACTAAGCCTGTCACACATGTCAGGTCCCCTCATCCTGTGACCCTTGTGGGTTTGGAAAAGAATGGCTCCCTCTGCTCATGTCTCTTTATCCCCCCACTCTGGCCTCCCTGCCATCTCAGGTCTGGACTGCTGCAGTAGCCAGGCCCTCTCAAAGTCCCCCTTGCCCGCCATGTCTGAGCCACTCTGCTGTGGTCTCTGTTCCCAGTGAATCTTCTGAATTTAGTGTTGTGTTTACACTGGCTGCTCTGGGAGCTTCTAACGGCAGGGCTCAGGATCCCCTGCTCTGTGTGTATGGGCAGAACAGCTGTTCCCCGGCTCCGTCCACACCCTTAGTCCTGTCATCATTGCCAGCAAGAAGGACAGTCACTAGACCAATCATACTTCACTGCTGTCTGTGCCTGCTGCATGGCCCTGAGCAGGACACTTCCACTCTAGGTTAGTTCCTACTCTGTGTGCTGTGCAGAGTAGCAACACCTGCTGGGCAGGTTTCTGTGGCAGGCAGCCCTGTCTGTGCACAGAGGGGGACCCTGTAGCACCAGGGAGATAGAACTCAGCTACCATAGCTGTCATATGACAGATCGGATGGGTCCCCAAATACTCCTGCTACACAGCAGCATGGCTGTGGTCCCCTTGCATGGAACAGCTCATGCAGAACATGCAAGGGACATCAACCTGTTCACCCTGCTACCTACTCTCACATCCTACACTATTTCTGCCAGGTACCAGTCCTACTGTTAGTGATGCTGAGCTGGAGCCACTTTCTTCTCTGTCCCCTCTCCCTCCTCTTTTAGTTTTTTATTTTTTGGTTTTTCAAGACAAGATTTCTCTGTGAAACAGTCCTAGCCATCCTGGAACTCACTCTGTAGAACATACTGGCCTCAAACTCACAGAGATCCACCTGCCTCTGCCTCCCCAGAGCTGGGATGAAAGGTGTGTGTGTGCACACCGCTCAGATCTCTCCCTCCTCCTTGCTTGGCCCTGAGCCCTGAATCTCCGTTACCATTCCAGGCCTCCGTGGGGCCATCCCCTATGCATTGAGCTTGCACCTGGGCCTGGAGCCCATGGAGAAACGGCAGCTCATTGGCACCACCACCATTGTCATTGTGCTCTTCACCATCTTGCTGCTGGGCGGCAGTACCATGCCCCTCATCCGCCTGGTGGACATTGAGGATGCCCGGGCACGCCGCAGGAGCAAGAAGGATGTCAACCTCAGCAAGACTGAGAAGATGGTTAGTGCAGCTGTGGGCCCTGCCGCCTGTCTGCCAGGGAGAGCAGGTCAGGCTTCTGAGGGCTGGGGCTTCCTTATGCATTTGCTTATCCCAGGGTCAGCAGTAGGCCTGAGAGCAGGTGCAGGGGCTTGACTCCTGAAGCATGGCTCTCCGGGGTAGGGTGCGTGCCAGGCTTGTGACCTGCTGATGCCATCTGTAGCTCAGGACATTTGAAGTAGAGCCTGGCCTTATGACGGTCCTGGAAGAGTGTCTCTGCTGCCAGGAGCTGAGCCAGAAGGCCAGGTCAGGAACTAAGAGATTTCAAAATTGGGTATTCTTCAGGATGCATTTACACCCCTTGATAGTGGCCAAGCAGATGGTAGCTTTTGTTAGCAGTGAGGGCTGTAAGCAGGCTGGCATCCCCAAGGACAGAGGGGTCATGGTTTAGGGGTAGAGATGGTCAGGGCCCAGCCACATTGGAAACTGAGGCTTCTGTGCCCCCCTTACCCTCCTCTACTTTCTGTGAGCCATCTCCTACCACCAGGCACCTCTCAGGCCGGGACTACCTTCAATTGGCTCGTTCTCCATCCTCCCCCCACTGCAGCAACCCTGACTTCTGATCCACATTTCTACCCCACCGCTCCTTCATCCTGAGATACACTGCCTTCTAGTCAGTGTCAGTGTCAGCAACTTGGGTCAGTCATCAAAGTGCCATCTGAGAGTGGGAGAGCCAGGGCCATTGGTCTGGGGCCTTTCCTTCAGGTAGCTCACCTCAGGCTCTGCAGGTACTTCCCATGCTCAGAGTCCTCTCTTCCCAGCTTCTAGCTAACCACTTTGCTTGATGTTGTATTGTGATCTCTTTGTTTTTGTTTCTTTATCTTTAATGGGTTTTTTTTGGGGGGGGTGAGACAGGGTTTCTCTTTATTGCTTTGGAGCCTGTCCTGGAACTCATTCTGTAGACCAGGCTGGCCTTGAACTCAAAGAGATCCACCTGCCTCTGCATCCTGAGTGCTGGGATTTTCAACTTTTTTTTTAAAGGATATGTGTGTCTGTGTATGTGCATGCCATGGTATATGAATGGTGTGTGTGTGTGTGTGTGTGTGTGTGCGCACACACACACACACACATATGTGTACTATGAATGCAAGAGGAGAGCATTAGATTCTCCAGGACTGGACAACAAGCAATTATGAACCTAACATGGACTCTGGGAACTGAACTCGAGTCCTCTGGAAAAGCGGCAAGCATTCAGAGCCACTGGGCCATCTTCCCAGTGGTTTCTGCTTGTTGAGCTGGGCTTGCTCTGTAGACTAAACTGGACTTGAGTATGTTGTGGCTCCCATAGTCCTGTTGCCTCTACCTTCCAGGGGCTGGGAATTACAGACGGGAGCCCTGTGTAGACTGACATTTCTGCTAAGGCTACAGCCACTCTGGGACAATCATAATGCACCGTTGAGGCCTAGGCCCTCGGCCTCCATAGGAAGCAGGGACTCTCATAGTCTCCATCCTGATGGTGAGAACACTGAGGCACAGAAAAGGCTCCAGTCAAGACCTGCACTCACAGAGATGTCTTCAGAGCACGGTCGCCAGAGCAGCAGCAGTATAGGAACTTGTCAAGTGCGCAGATCTGGTGGCCCTGCCACTGACCTATTGTTGCAGGAATTATAGCTAGGGCTGACGTGTAGCGTCTTCAGGCTTCTCAACCCCCAAAAGACAAACCATGTACTTCCACCATTTTCCTCTGCACTGCAGGCGTAGGCCAGCAGCGCTTTGCAACTTGGGAGCCTCCTCTGCTCCAATCTTGCCATTGGGCCTCCCTGCAGAGGGTAGGCTTTGGGGGCCCAAAAAGGTCCGGGCCTGTGACCACCTCTAGTAAGGTAGAGTGTGCTAGGGGTAGCATTCTGACAGGAAGGCAGAGTCGGGGCTCCCAGGGAAGTGCCTGCTGACACTGCCAGCTCTGTCCCACAGGGCAATGCCATCGAGTCAGAACACCTATCTGAGCTCACCGAGGAGGAATACGAAGCCCACTACATCAGACAGCAGGACCTCAAAGGCTTCATGTGGCTAGATGCCAAGTACCTGAACCCCTTCTTCACACGGCGGCTGACACAGGAGGTGGGCATATTGAATCCCTTGCTTCCCCTCAGGCCTGTAGTGGCCAGGGGTGGGGAAGGAAGCCACTTCTGGAGGCTGGTGAGCAGCCCAGCTCAGCCCCTGCTGCCTTTCCTTCCCTACACACCTTGGAAAATGGCTAAGTTTGGTTAGCCATGGGAACATGGATCAGCCTCTGATGCTGAGCCAAGAAGTCTCAGATCAGCACTATAGCTGCCTCCTCCAGGGGGCAGGGCTCTTCTGGCTGCTCTCCCTCTCTCCACAACAGCCCCTCACACTCCCAAGACCATGTCCTCCAATAGCTAAGCAGCAAAACATGTTATCTCACTTGACAGCTAGGGAGACTGAGGTCCAGGGAAAGGAGCTCCCTCCACGCCCCTCAGTTCTCAGCAGCCCTGCCTGTTATCTCTGACCGTAGGTTCACAACAGCCTCTTGTCCCCTGACCCTGTCACTGATGACCCTGTCACCTCCTCTTATGTGTCTTGCTCCAGGACCTCCACCATGGGCGCATCCAGATGAAAAGCCTCACCAACAAGTGGTATGAGGAGGTCCGCCAAGGCCCGTCGGGCTCTGAGGACGATGAGCAGGAGCTGTTCTGAGCCCACAATGCCCTGGGCCCGGAAGAAGATGCCTCATGCAGCCTCCTCAGAACAAGAGATGGTAGGTGGAGGGCTAGGAAGCCCAGGCCTTCAGTGCATGCTGGCTTCAGAAATGTGATCGGCCTCCATGACTCACGGAACCAGGCCTGTCCCAATGTTGTCTCTGGGCCTGCAGAGGAGGGTGGCAGTCTTTCTGCCAGGCCACAGAGAAAGCTTGGGAGGCTGGCTTGCTCAGCTCACACCATGACTGGACCATGCCTTCCTCACACCTGGAGCAGCTGCTGGCAGGCACATCTGCTATTTGTCTCTACATTGTCAGGATGCCTTGGTGGCAGCGGCAGCAGCCTCTACCTGTGCCAAGGCCAAGAGACTGAAAGGCCCACAGTCCCTGGCCTGAGTTCTCAAAGAGAGAGGCTGGAGGGCCTTTTTCTTGACATGGGACTGGCACCTGTCAGCCTGCCTTTGGCAGGCAGCTGCAGTCCTCTGTGGGCATACTGCAAATGTCTCACCTGCCTGCAGGCTTCCAGGAAAGGCGGTGGCCTGAGTTTGCAGTGCTCTCTGAAGAGACAAAGGGGTCTTTAGACCCTGGAAGCACAGGATCCTAGGGGCCACCCTTCCCCCCTAATGTGGGGGCTACCTCCATATCGTCTCTGCTCTCCACCACTGCCTCCTCCCTCCTTCTTGCCCTCTGCCCCACAGTGTGAAGCTCCTTCCACCCAGCTGCTGTTCAGAGCCCAGCCTCTTTTACCAGTTCCTGGAACTTGGGTCCTGTGCCCACCATGCCCAGGCCCCAGCTCTCCAAGACACTGGGGCAATGGCCAGGGCACCGGCGCCAAGCTCAGTGTTCCCGCACTCCAGCCACTTGCCACTTGGGATACTGGTGACTTTGGGTCACACAAACAGTCCCATGCATGTCTTAGGCTAAGGCGCTGGGTCCCACCACAGGCACTGGTTACCTGCCCTTTTATAGCTGCTGCAGTCCATCCATCCGTGACCCCTCAGCAACCACATGTGTGGGCCTGGCCTTCCCTCGCGCCCTGGGTGCTTAGCTGCTGTGTACGGCCTTGGCTCACAGTGGGCACACTGGGCCTGAGTGGGCTGCTTGCAGCTCTTTCCCACCTCAGGTGCTGGGGTTCTGACGCTGGAAGACAGCCAGGCCTCTGAGGCCTCACCTCACTGTGCTGCACGAGGTGGCAGTTGCAAGCGTGTAGTTTGCTTCTATACATTAGGTCACTTATCTTTGGCACAGCCAAGATGTGGCCTGGTCCTCTTCTCTGTCTTTCACTTCAACCCTGGAGCTGGAGTCACCTGTGGCCTTGTGCACTTGAGGCAAGGCTGGAGTCAGGTTGGAATGTTCTCTTTCCCAGGACTCATGCTCCATCTCTGAGATGGAGGTTGCTTTCCTTGCTCAATGCTTGCCAAGATTCCTTTTTAAACCTGAGATTAATAGGTGAAGCAGTGAAGCATCAGGGTACCATTCACTCAGTCCCTTGTCACCAGCTCATGTCCCAGACACATCACTCTTGGTCCCCTGCTTTAGCTGGAACCTGAAGAGAGTTTCCGGGAGGCTGGTGAGAAGGAGGGAGGGTTGCTGTGCCAGCCCTGAGTGCCAGTAGGCACCAGATCTACCCTCTCCTGGGGAATATGGCCTTAGAACCTGGGAGTGCCCAGTCCTGCAGGGCCCATGGCCAAGGAGCAAAGCTCTGGAGGGCATTTCTCAGATGAGAGACAAATGCTGCCACCACCTTCCCAGACCCACTAGTCCTGTTCTGTACAGCAGTGAATGTGAGATGGTAGAAGGTGACCCAGCTGTGCTCCAAATTTCAGGTCTAGGCCAAGGGACAGGCCAGCTGGGCACAGAAGGTAATACTTCAGAGTGAGGGCCATGGGTGCCCTTGGGGATCTGGAACTATAGCCCATAGGCAGGCCTCACCCTGTAGTTCCTGGTGGCCCATCCCTGCAGGGTAGGAGCCACTTCTTGGAACCGGTGGCCCTGCATTCTGAAGTGCTGTGGTCACAGGGTTCCTCCAAACAGCCACATCTAGCATCTTGGGGTGAAACCTAACAGGTTGAGGGCTTGGTATGCAGATTCTTTTCTGTGCAATTGAATGCCAAGAGGCTGAGCAGAAAGCCTTCTTAAGACTCACCCTAAGATCTACCAGGTCCACATGCCCATGGAAGGTTCTGGGCTGGGTGGCAACTGCCCAGACCCCCCCCACCCCCCCTTAGCCACAGAGGTACATATGGTAGAGATCAGCTGTTCCTGGCTCCCATGTGAGAAGGAATTCAGTAGCTGTCTACTACCCACGAGGCTTCTAAGATGCCACACGGAGACAGAAGCCCTCCCCAGTTCTCTCAGAAATAGCAGCTTGATTTCTCTGCTGGCTGGTGCCCAGGAAACCAGGTGCAAGCAGCACTGCGTTCTCTCAGGGCCCCAGGGCCAAGCTGTGTTAACTGGAACGGCATGGTGGGGGGCTTCAGGTGGCCCTGCTTCTCCACCCTGCCTTCCCACCTGTCCACCCAGTCTCAGAGGAAGAGGTGCCATGGCCCCCTCACCCAGGCGCAGTCATGTACAGTAGTGGTGGGACAGGCCACTCTTGGTGGCTGTGGCTCTGCTCTAGAGCCATGGTAGCCCAGGCTGGAGACTGGTGGAGCCCCCTGCTTCCACCAGGAGGAGGCTGAGGGCTCTTCACAAGCCTGGGTTCCTTACCTTGGCAGTGGAAGGTTCTGGAGAGGCTAGTTTTCTGTGTGACTTAAGGAGGCTGGCTAGGAGCCATCTGTGTAAGGTCCCAGGGGCCTGAGCACGAAGGAAGTATGTCACTCTCCTGGAGCTCACCCTTGCCTGCCTGCCTGTGTCCCTCCCCTTCATCACTGAATGGGAGGTCACATCACTGGATAGTTAGAAATAAAATGCTGTGAATCAGAGCTGGCCTCTGTTATGTCTAGTGACTTTGGAAAGCTGGGTTTGTACATTCCTGGATGTGGCTCTGGGTGCTCACAGCTCTCCAGGAAGCAGTGGGCATGTTCCAAGAAGTGGAAAGAGTACAGCCTCTGGTCCGCAGAGGCAGAATGCTCACATCAACCAGGACTGCCTCCCAGGTGCCCGGGGTCCAGTGCTCCCAGCCTCCCAGGACCTGCTGCTGCTTGGCTGCACATTGATTCTGACAGCTCTATCTACACAGAAGAATGGAAAACTTCTCCATTAAATCCACACAACTGGCTGGGTGGTGGTAGAAAATGCCTTCATTCCCAACACTCAAGAGACAGAGGCAGGTGGATCTCTGATTTTTGAGGCCGGTCTGGTCTACAGAGTGAATTCTGGGACAAGCTCCAAAGCTATAGAGAAACCCTGTCTTGTGTGGGAGTGGGGGGATCCACACAGAGCGCGCGCGCACTCGAGCACGCGCGCACACACACACACACACACACACACGGCAAAAACCAGATTTCCTGGCTTCTAGCCCTGAGATGCCCCCACCCACAGCAGCGGCCAAAAGAGTGAAGGGCACTGGTATCAACCTGATGCCTGCCAGCCACAGGCTGGAGATGCACCAAGGGTGTAGGACATGAGTGCTCCTCTGTATAGTCTGGGCCCTGTCAGGGAGAGCTGCCTGAGTGTGACATCTCAAAGTAACTTAACTAGATGAAGTCAAGGAACATGCTCATGAACAACAGGCGCAATCCTCAGGGTGCCCTGGCCTTGAAGATAGCTGGGAGTTTTTCTGAGTAGTGTGCCAGCCTGGAGGAAAGGACTCAGTCCTTCTCTGGGTAGCTCCAGAAAAAGCCCTCAAGGTGGAGGGGAGAAACAGGAAGAAATAACTTCCTCAGAGGCCAGAGGCTGTGGAGAAATGGGTGGGTTCCCATCAAGGAACCCATTCTAAAAACATGCTGTATTGGGAGGCAGAGATGGAAATCTATTGAGTTGGAAACCAGTTTAGCCTACATAGCAAGTTCCAGGCCAACCAAAGCTACAGTGAGACCTTGTCTCAAAAATAAAAACATCGCTGCCATGCATAGTGGTGTATAACCATAATCCCAACACTAAACAGGCTGAGACAGGAGAATGGCCTCCATTTTGACCCAGCCTTGATTATAGGCTAAGATTATCAAAAGAAAGGAAAGGGGAGACACACTGCAAACACTTGAGTCCTCCATGGCGTCCACCGGGGCTTCCTTCCCTGGGCATTCAGCTTTGATGTGGGTGACCTGCTTTGAAGAGAGCTGAGCCCATTCCCAGGTCAGCACCCCTGGCAGTACCTTGTAGAGGGAGACCTCTAACCCAGCATGGCAAAGGAGAGCAGCATCTTGGGGAGCTGCCCATGGTTCCTCTCCTCACATGCAGGTGTAGAACCAGCACCTCCTGCAGCCATTCACTGTGAGGCCCAGCAGGGAGACAGGGCTTCATGAGGATGGCAGAGCAGGGAACACATTTTTTTGGTTTGTGTTTTGAGACAGGGTTCTCTGTGTATAGCCTTGGGTGTCCTGGAATTCACTCTGTAGACCAGGCTGGCCTCAAACTCCACCTATCTCCGCCTCCCCCCCCCCCAGTACTGGGATTAAAGACCTGTGCCACCATGAGCTAGAATTATAGTTGTGAGCCACCTAAAGCGGATGCTAAGAACCAAACTCCTGTCCTCTGAAAGAGCAACAAGCACTCTCCACCATTAAGACATTTCTCTAGTCCCACAGCTGGCATTTAAGTTGGGTTCTGGGGAGCAAATCGAGTTCCCATACTTGTGAGGCAAACACTTAACCAATGAGCCATCTCCCCAGAACAATTTGTTTCACATAAAGCTAAGGAATGGTGGTGTGAATTTAAAATCCAAGCATTTGGGAGGCTGAGGCAGGAGGATTGCCTGGGCCCCATGATGAACACCAACTAACAATGACTAGAGTAAAATTCTTGTAAAAACAGAAAAATGTTTATGTAGTGTGTATTCCTTCAGTTCTGTGTGATTTTTCACATGTCTAGATTCGTACTGCCACCAACCACAGGGAGGTCCTTTTATAGAAGTGATAGTAATGATCCAGTTGCTAAACAGAACGGAAGTGGAGTACCTGCATGTTGGTATGAGTGAAATGACAGCTAAGTAAGAAATAGGGGCCTTAATAGCCTGACTCTCCCAGAACCACACATGCCTCCCGCTGAAGTAGTCCCCCCCCCCCCCTCTCTCTCTCTCTCTCTCTCTCTCTCTCTCTCTCTCTCTCTCTCTCAACAATGCAGAAGAGACAGAATGTGTGCATAACACTCCATGTTAGCAGAAGGGGAGATAAAACTATGGTCATTTCAACTGAAACAGAAAGATTATCTGACCACATTCCAGACACTTCAATAAGAAAAGCATTCAACAGAGTGAGTTCCAGGAGAACCTGGGCTACAACCCTGTCTCAAAGACCAAAACCAAACAAAAAAAAAAAAAAAAAAAAAAAAAAAAAAAAAAACCCTACCAAACAGAACTAAAGAGAAGGGTAAGCGGCTAAGAACACTGGCTGTTCTCACTGAGGACTGGGTTCCATTCCCAGCACCACATCTGGTTCTGACCCATCTATCTGTAACTCCAGTTCCAAGGAATTCCACTCCATCTTCTGGTCTCAATGGGCACTGCATACACATAATACTCAAACATACACAGGCAAAAACACCCATACACCTAGTAAAAAATTTAAGCTGGGCAGTGGGGATGCATGGCTTTAATCCCAGCACTTAGGAGGCAGAGGCAGATGGATCTTTGTGAGTTCCAGGTCAGCCTGGTCTACAAAGCAGGTTCTAGGACAGCCAGGGCTACACAGAGAAACCCTGTCTGAAAGAAGAAAAAAATCCGGTGTTGGTGGTGCACACCTTTAGTCCCAGCATTCAGGAGGCAGAGGCAGGAGGATGTCTGTGAGTTCGAGGCCAGCCTGGTCTACAGAGAGAGTTCCAGGACAGGCTCCACAGCAATACAGAGAAACCCTGTCTGGAAAAAAACTTGAGAAAGGAAAAAGGAAAGAAAGAAACAAGTCTTACACACGTAAAGTAGAACTGGGCCCCTGAATGACCCAGCAACCCCATATCACCCTCTTCCATCTGCCCACACAGGCCCTGGATGTTGCCAATGGAGACTCCAGTGTCAGAACCGAGCAGGCCTCAGGCACTCAGCTGGCCGGGCCCACTGAAGGGATTATCCTCAGCTCACAAAGCACTTTGCAACAATGCATGACGATAGGCAGAAATCAGGGAGAGGCAACCAGTTTTTAAGAAATCAAGAGACTAAAACATGTGATAGCACAATTAGACTAAGCAAGCCTCTCAAACGGCTTCTTGAGGGTCACTATATCCAACCTCAATGAAGGTGGAGAGCAATGGGCTTTCAATAATGCAAACACATGTAAAAATGCATTTATCCCTCCTCTCTCCCCTTCTGTCTCTCTCTCACACACACACAACACACACACACACACACACACACACACACACACACACACACACGGAAACACTGGGGTGCCTATGCTCTGCAGCCTCAGTAGCAAAGGCAAAGGCAATTTAAAGATACATCAGCCTGGGCTGGGACAGACTGGCTCAGACAGACATCACTTGTCTAGCATACCTCAGGCCCTGTCTTCAGCACCCCCAACAGTCCCAAATGTGAGGGACCTGAGCTTGATGGAAACAAAAATACACACATGAATAGATTTTTAAAATGATTCTGTGTATGGGTGTTTTGCCTACATGTATGTATGTATGTATGTATGTATGTATGTATGTATACCATGTGCATGCATACCTGGTGCCTGCAGATCCCCTGGAACTGGAGTTAGAAATAGATGTAAGCCACAATGCCAGTGCTAGGAATTGAACCTAGGTCCTTGGAACAGCAGCTGGTGTTTTGTTTTTTTGTTTTGAGACAGGGTTTCTCTGTTGGAGCCTGTCCATGACCTAGTTCTGTAGACCAGGCTAGTCTTGAACTCAGAGATCCGCCTGCCTCTGCCTCCTAAGTGCTGGGACTAAAGGCGTGTGCCACCATCACCTGGCAGCCAGTGTTCTTAACCACAGTGACATCTCACCACCTGTCTAGTTTGGTTTTTTTGGCTGGGTGTGGTAGAACATGCCTTTAATTAGAGAAATCTGGAGGCAGGAATAAAAGGGAGGGAGGGAGTCTTAATAATGCCTGCAGCCACCAACAACTGCTTCTCCCAGGACACAGCCCACTGTGGGGAAATGAGCAGCTGACCCCTGGGCCTGGTTCCCATCTCCCCCAGATGACCAGACAGTTCTGTCACTTGAGCTAACAATGCCTTATAGGCCAGAGTGTGCTGCAAATGAGGGAAGCCACAGAAGGGCGCTGTTAACTCCATAAACACTTTGTTTTAACAATGGAAGACACTTTATTTAGTTTTTTAAATTTTTCTCTGAACATTTCAACTCTGTAGAAATCAAATGCAAAATATGTGCATTTTTAAATTAGCATTTACTCAGCTATCCAGATCACAGCAATCTCCCACAGTGAGATACACCGAGGAGGGTGAGGCCATGCCAGTCTGTACACACAATATTTCCTGGTGGAAAGCACATTGGACTAACTCAGGCAACCTGGGCTCCATCTCAAGTCCCTGCAATTCTGGAACAAACTGGAATAGCAAACTAGAGCTCTCAGGAGTGGGCCAGGCATCGACAGTTCTGAAGTGTGGGAGCGTCAACGACAGCTGCCCAGGGAGGGTAGTCTCAGTAATAAAACTGCTCAAACTTAGCTGTATATACACCTATCTACATGTGATCTATCAGCTAGAGATACAAAAGAGCCATGTAAGATCTGAAAACCTTAAAATCACTCCAGTAAATAGGAAGGACACCAGCAAATTCACAGTGGCTCAGGGTTTGGCCAGTCAAGCCTGCTCCGAAGCTGAATGCCTTTCTTAGGGAAATCCCACTAGCAAGCAGATCCC